GTGTTACCATTATGGTAGGGCAACGAAAATCAAATGTTGGTATGGACGAATCCATGACCTTTCTTATTTAGTTTGGTATGATTTTTCTTCCGGCACTACGGACAGCCTTCTCCACCTAACCATCGCATCTAGCCACACACGCCGAGATTTTCATTTCTAAGTCAACTTAGCACAATGGACCATGGCCGGACTCAAACTAAAAGACGACGATACTCCATATGTTACGCGTCGTTCGGACAGGACACTGTTTTGCGGGGTGCCCGAACGATCGGTCCCGCCCTACCGATCGTTCGATGAAGTTCTAGAGCCCTTCTAGCCCACGTATTATCTAATATTCAGATTCGTACGCACAAGGCACATACCAGCGAAAAGAAGGTCCGCAGCTCGGGGAGATTAGACAGTTTCACGACGAGATTGCATACCTACCTAGGTACCTATATGCCTGGCTGGTTGGGACTCTCTTCAGCTCTCACCTGGTTTGACAAGATGGCTCGACAGTCGCACTGGGAACTTGGACATACATACGTACCATACCAGTGGTGAGGCGCAAAATAGTGATCTAACTGCGCGAGGTTGCGTACCACCTCGGTAGACGACAGGCGAGCCGCGCACGACGGACGCAGGCACCATTGTCACGATGCAGTGATTCTCATTCGCCCCGAGCGGCACTTGTCGTTCGACAATGAGACATGATTCGTGAGCCTTCCCTTTACGTCCTTTACGTAGGGCCGAATGGCTGCAATCATGGCGCTAAGACGTCAAAAATGCCGAAGATCTCATTGCCACTTGGTAATGCAAGATCTGCCTAAGAGACTGGCTGACCGCCGGTGGATCCTCCGGTCGCCCGGCAGCTTCCGCCCCTTGTATTATTTCGATCAATGCCAACCAACCAACCAACTTCAACGCTTCGACTGCGTCGCTTTACCATTATTCTGGCTATATTTATCCTTCGAGGCACGTGAAGACTCGATAAGGATAACAAAAATAAAACCATCAGTTATACCCAGGCTGCCAGGCTAAGTGCTAAGTCGGTAAGTATTGATATTTTCTAAATTACGCGACCTTCCTCCTAAAATGTCAGTACTATTTACTATTTTCCCATAATAGTAGATACTAAATCAGGGGTGGAGGGGCTTGAAAAAGGAGAACTAATCGGGCCAAGTACCTAAAACCAGGAAGTCTCCGGTGTAAACCATGGATACTGTTTAATCCAATGGTCAAGCGTCCAACAGCGGGACTCTCATGTGCACTTGATTGGCAGCTTTGAACCATATCCACGATACCGGGAATGATGACCGAATTATCTGGCGAGTGCCTAGTAATTTTTCTTTTATATCTTTTCGTTTGAGGTAATTACTTCAATATATTTTCTCCTTTCACGAGAAAATTCTGTAAGGGCATTGGTAAATATGATGCCAAATGTCCCTAACTTATGGTTATTATAGCGCGGAACCAACCTACAGCGATCATGATCTGAGTTCTTAGGTACTTCTCTAGTCCATGGTTTGAGCCTATGTAATTACCTACCTACCTCCTAAGGAACAATCATTCCGAGCACTTGACAACATCAAATCTTCAACCTTTTGTGTCACGTCACATACCTACCTACTCTTTATTATGCTTCAACCGATTTCACAACTTTACGCGATGATGCTAATAGGTCTAGACTCTTAAAGCTGACCACGTAGGTTCGAGCACTAGTTGAGGCTACTATTCCAGCTGCGGATATTGATTCCGCTAGTACGTATAGCTTACGAGTACCTAATAAATGACAGCCCTAGCTTGGCATTGGAACTACTAGGAACCACTTTCACGAATTCTAGAATATCCATCTACGGTCTAGGTACCATTTGACTTGGATGCTAAAACAGGAGTCTCGATCAGTAGGCAAAACACTTTACTACACAGCCCGGTTCCAAGGTCGCAGCCCACCAAGACGCCACATCGGATGACGGAGCTCAGTCTAGCGATTCGACATCCGGTTCGTCTCCTATCCAAACCGGTCGGTAGAAAACTTGATAGCTACGAGGACATCGGTGATTGGCATAACACTAGCAAGTGGTTTAGGGGGATAGTCCCTTCTCAGCTGAGGGAACTACCACTAAAAGAAGCTAGGTTGATATTTTGATATTCTACCTACTATGTACAGTGCACCATTTACATGGCATAGTACCTAAGCGCAACGATATTTCGTGTTACAGAGACACCCTCCAAGAACCAATGCATATTCGGCTGTACACAGATGTTTCGTCGTTCGGGGTACAACGTCTTCCCCTTGCCTAATCCCCAAATTCTTATGTAAATCCCCTCCTTTTATATACAGTGTCTCTCATGTCTATACCGTACAGGATAATCGACGTTTGGCACGGTCCGTACAAGCTTATGTACCTATCCTAGCGGGATAGGCACGTATGTGTACCTAGGGCTTGGCGTGCATGACATGCAGCCCGAACTGCACGCAACCTTACAAGGCTGCATCCACCTGGACATAGAAACGTAGGAGACAGGTATGAATTTGCCAGTTCATCCCGTCCTCCCGCTCCGGACTCGGCTGGTCTTGAGTTGGGGGCCAATATTTAATCGCCCTAGGGCCTAGGTACCTACCCAGGTTATTTACGTGTTAGATGTAGGCAGACAGGCAAGCTGTTCAGCTTCAGCCTTCTACAGCCTACTCTACCTGACTCATACGAGGCGACAAGGCTACGCGTCTAATCGTTGGTTTTCAATCTTCCCTGCGTTCATTCAACGACGCGGCCTCGAAGCCTCGAAGATCCCGTAACCTTTCGTTCTCCTTACTCCTTACCGCTAACCAAACACGTTCCGGCGTTTTTTATTGCCGAGCTCCCTGTCGCGTGATATGCAAGCCTGTGTGGCTATGTCCGCCAGAGACCAACGATATTCGTTGCTTATAACGATGCTGCATATGCGATGCGTGGTCTTCCAGACATTTTTTTTGTCCTAAAAGTCGCCATATCCTTTCCTCATCACAGATGGGACAACAACCTGCGACGACGATAATCTGATGATCCATTGGACCTCGATTCAAGTACCGACAGGCCTCAAATGCAATACGAGTCGCATTTGTCATAACTGACGTTGCCAACCACCTTGGGACTGCTCTGAGTACTTACTACAACCTCCCCATCCGGTAAACAGGAACATCAGCCCTTTTAAGCCGTGGCTGTCTTTTTGCCTGTTCCAAGTCTTCACACCTTTGCATACACACACCCACACCCACACCAGCGGATATTTTGTCTCGTCTAGTGACGTCGAGAAGAGGCGCCGAAATTGATAGGTTGTTTTATTATCTGCTTGCTCATGCATGAAGTAGGCCCATACGTATCACCGAGAAGAAGCAAATAAAATAAAAATTAAAAAAATTTTCACCTCTTATCCTTTTCTCTACCTACTCTGAAATTTTAATGGCCCCTTGCAGCAATATGCGCTATATCCCACCCGCGGAGATTCACATCAACATGTAAACCGAATGTCACTCTTCTACGTTCGCTTCTATATTCGCTTCTACTCCGACCCAATCACGACTGGCAGAGAAATTATAAATCACATCTTGTCTTGTATATCGGAAACATTGGTCAAAGTTGCGAATCAGACAGTACCGATTTACATTCACATGCATCAAATTCCAGCGCCTCTTTCGGATAGACTAATCCGTAAACCGTTTAAGGGCCCTTTCGAGGAGGGCGATCCGACCTCAGTCAGCAAGGATGACGTCCAAGGCTGAGTCCCGCCAGCGCGGTATACTGAGCCCCAGGTAATAAGGCAGCAAGGAGGTCAGAACTGATCCCGGGCAGAATCCCCATCCCCGGCTCCCGGCGTCCTCTCATAAAGCTCCGGGCATGAATGGATGAGACTCGTGGAAGCCCAGCGGCACAGTCCACGCGCCCCCGCAATGACGGCTCATTCGCCGGCTATTGATATATTGATCAGCCGGGAGGTATATTGCTTCCGCTACGGATGAGACGTTGTTGCGCGTCTAATATGTGCTTTCCCAGGACCCCTTTCATCTGCAGAGAAACCTTATCGAACACATCCCCAGTCCCTTGGGGTCTCGCGGTGCTACTACACCAGTCGACTAATTGGAGAACATATCACGCAGCATCGCACCAAGCGCCGATTCTCTAGTGGCGCTCTCTTTTACCCTATCAACCATAACTTCTAACGTGGTATGCGCACGTTCAGAGTTGCAGCAAGTGCCATACCTAGGTCGCCGGAAGGGACTCAGGTCTTACTTCGTCAAGATGCCGGAGGATATATATGGCGTATGCTATGTTTTTTGATGAAGGAACGTTTCATGATGAGTTTGGACCGTCGCTTAATATTTTCTTTGTTTTTTTTCCCTACCTGAGCACAGCATGTCACACAGACGACGGCTGGTCTCTGGCTGGTCGGCTGGCTGCCCTAGAGTGATGATTTCAGGAACAGGCCAGCCTTCAGAATGCCCAGTGCATATGCGAAGACAACGCACCCTACATGTAGCCATTTGTGTGACATATGCTACCGAGGGCTTTCCATTCTCGCGGGCATTTTCTCTCCTAAGCTTCCCCTTTAGGAAGCTCGGGAGAAAACTTCGGCCGATCTTCCAGAAGTCTAACCTCTTCGACGAAGGTATGTATGACATGTATGTGTATGGCATTCATGGCACGCACACTTCATTAATTATACCTCCCATATGATATTTATACCTCCGAAGACTATATTACTTATTTCCTGCATGTCAACCAATGACCGAGATGTCAATACATCGCTTACCTTAGGTATCGACTAAACTAATCTTGATTCATCTCCTAGAACCCTACATGGAACTGCTAGATCCTGAACGCCGACCTCTGTGGAACTTCTCCTCCATCATCCCTACCCACCTGGGCACACCAGCCACACGAAGCGAAAGTTAGCACGTGGCCAATCATCAAAGCGTCCCTTGCTAATGGGATTCTTGGGACGAATTTGTGGTCCAATAACTAACTATGCTGCTATGATACTATGCTATTATGCTACTACTACCTAGTACGCATAGTATGCTGCTATGTAGGTACATATCAAACTTGGGAGTCCGCTTTAACTGACAAGATAATTATTTCTATTATTTCCACGTATATCCCACGAGGGCTCTAGCGGGTCTTGGTCTCCATTACAGAAGGCGATCCCAATTCCCAATTTGTCAAGCCTTCCCAGACTAGCACGTCGGCAAAATGGGACGGGAATTTCGAGACCCCGACCCCTTCTGGTGGAGCATGTCTTCGACAAAGGTAGCATAGTAACGACCCTGGATTTCATAAACTGGCTCTCGCAGCTCTCGTAAGGCTGACCAAGGCCTCGGTATATGATAACCATGGTTAGTAGATATGATCCTGATCCCGCCCGTTACATCATTCTCCACCCGCACGAGCTCCATAGCATCCTGCCTACCTACCTGCCTGCCTGCATACAGTCCCCGGCCTTACTCCTTGGAGTGAAGTCATGGGCAGTTTCCTATCTAAAATACCGATTCAACTAGGATGTATCCATCCCGAAGCAAGAATATACCACCTCGGATGCAGTGGGTAAGGGAAGCCGGCTATTTCTTATAGTAACCTTATAGTAACCAAGAAAAACCGGCGAATGGATTTGCTGACTGCACGTTCAGCTTACCATGCAGCCTAGCCTTTCTTTTTCGACTGCAAGATCTGTCATATTGCTGTCATTTTTTTCTCTTTCGACGCTAGGCCCTATGGGAGCGACTTTAGGAAATGTAGGCTATCGTAAACTACATATCCTATGCGGGACGTCACACTCGATATGCGTTGGTGGTGAAGATGTCTTCCTTAAGCAAACTAGGCGCTCCACCCGTCTAGAGACAAACGAGCCTAGCTGTCCCACTCGACGAGGAGCTGCGGTATGCACAGTACAGTACATACATACGTACATGCGTACATTATACCTATTATACCTGTCTAGTTTATACAAATGCAAATGCATACGTATTACATAGTAGACTACTGGACATGACAGGACCGAAACGAAGTCCGGGACCACATACTTCCGCTTTAAGAGTTTCATCGCGTCGAGCGCCGCGGGGTTCAATCGCCGTCGCGATGCGACTCTGCGTCGCTCGGCAAGGCATGGATGGGAGAGACTAGGAGGGAAAGACCCTTAAACTTCTTTAAAGCTCTCAAGCCCAATATTCTGAACCGAGGCGACGACCCTCCCGGCCGAACCCACAATACTAGCCCCGATGCAGTGATTGGTCCGCTGCTGGTAACTACACTTACTTACAGCGGCACGTCGCTTGAGCTTTCACTGCTTTTGCTAATTATTATCTCTTTTGCCTAGTCCCTAGCATGTACGATGATTACATACTTCACGAGGCGTGTGGATACCTCTCTTCTGATTCGCATGTGTGCGTACGTTAGCGTACGTAGCCGAGAGGTAACCCATAAACTCCATGCTAGAAACTACAGCTACAGTAGATACTGTAGCATATTGCTGTACATAAGCCCCCCCCGCGATACGATCCCGAGTGGGTTTATAGCGTATGAACGCAAGGGATGTTCCGGTATGTAGGTTCTGGAATTTCCTGATTTTACTTGATTTCTCGCCGGCGTTTCGAGGTTATAATACCTAACACACACACAAATAACCATAGTTCTGCGGTCCACCGCATGCATGCCTCTACGTCATGTGTTTCTCTGATCCCTAGCTAAATAGCTTAATAAGGGTGTAAGCAAGCGCAATCTTTTTTTTCGCCGCAATGGATCTATATCGCACACGTACCCTGGAAGGGTAACAGGTTCAAGTCAGCCACCTTACTCAGTTTATTACCTATGACCTACCTAGTAGGCAGGTAGCCAGCCCACCGGAGTCCACCAGCGGAAATTCGCCTCCTCGTGTCGCCGGACGGACGGCCTTAAGCAGGGCTGGCACGACATTATCTGGGATCTCGTTCGAAGCCCGATACGATGGGACGGGCTGTACGACGATACACCGCATTATTTTTTATCTTATTTTTTTTTCTCTCGCTTGATTGCTTGCTACTGCATCTGCACGCGTGCGCGCGTGAGAGACAGATGAGAGCTGAAACTTTTCAATTTAGGCCCTACGGGAGCTAGATCGTTATTAGTCGGCGGTCGATCTTGGACTGAAACGAAAAAAGTGCGTTGTCTATGGTCTTGTGATCACATGCGTATGCATGCACGTTGCTGACTGCAGACACATTTCGTTTCTTATTCTTATTTCTCGTTATATTTTTCGTCAGTTTTTTCTTGATCCTTTTCGTGATATGGGCTTATCTAAGCTCCTCTATATGTATGTGTGTAGGTGTGTGTGTGGCAGATGAAGCAACCTCAGGCAGGCTACGGCCGTTCTCGCGGCGGTCATGGGAGGGGAGTAACGATAACATGGTCTAGGCTACATAGACTTCCTTACATGCGAAATCATATCATGGGGCCGTCAGCTTCCTCTCGCGTAGCACACTGCGCTGATTCAAACGTTACCTGACGGATGAAGCACCCCGTGTGTGACAGGAATGGCGAGCGCCGATATCCTACCTGCTTGAGTTGGCATGTAGTCAGCACCTTCGGTGACGGCGCTGGTCCGATCGTCCGTTGCGGTCATCGTAACTGGTACGGCCGGTCCGGTGCGGCATATTTTGTTAGAATCCAACTCGGCCTCACCTCTATATTGGGGGAAAAAAACCTCTTTCAGCCGCAACGACACTGAAATGCATCCTTTCGGTAGAACGGATGATTCATCAAATCGAACTGGATATTGGTAAATCGAGCTATGCTTTTCAGAGCTTAGTTTCGTCTTTGGCCAAACCCACAACGCGCGCCAAATCTTAGCCTCATCGATCCTCCTTTTCTATTGGATCTTCTACGATGTTTCAATAGCTAGAATTCCGCCATATCTGTTTACCATAGTTCACTCACTCACAGTCCACTTCCGATGGCAATATCTATACTTCAAACTACGCCATGGAATGCATCTATGGATCAGTTGTGAGTATATATAGGGATCAGCCCAGATCATACGCTCGGTATCGCCTAGCCCGGTCGGTCTTCCATTCCACTTTCCTCGGTCCCGATCTTAGGTGTCTTCAGAGCACACCGTTCCATTGATGCCAAGATCCAGACGTTCAATGTCCAGGATCACGAGCCATCGCGAACCCGCCACGCCTGGTGTCGATACAGAGCATCGTGGATGAAGGGTTGCATTGATATGGGGGAAAAAGGAAAGTAGTGGATAAGGAAGATTATTTAGCATGGGAATGGAGACTTGCCATCAATGCGGGAATCTTCCGTACCTACGCTAGTGTAGTGAGTTCTAAAAATCATGATCTTCCTAATTTCGTCCTTGGTTACCTAATCAGGTCTGGTAGGTATCTTAGGGCAAAATATTAGCGGTGTAAAGGCATGCCCTTAGTTGCATACCTGCTAGTATCCAGCACCTAATTAATACCTAGTATCCAGAAAGCCTCAGCTGAAGATCACGTCAAGGTATGATAACTACTAGGTAACTACCACGGTATGACTCAAGTTGAATGTGATATTTCAGCCCTAACTGATGAGCTTTCTGGTTCGGTACCTCTCAATCCTTGTTTTGGGCTGACAATGAGCTATCTGGGGACATGAGGTATAGCATGGTACAACACTACCTCCTACATAACTAGTAGCTTGCGTTTACTACGTTGCGGCTACTTCGAAGCTTGCTCATTGGCGGCTTTAACTCCTCTGCCTTATGACAGGGGCCTATTTTTAGGCGTTCGTCGCTTATAAGTCAATGCTAGTATCTACTACATTGCCAACCTGTTGCAAATCAATACGCTATACCTTATGGAAACCTCGACTAACATATGGGAGCCGTGGGATTTTACAGATGCGCATGGAAGTTTCGGCTTGTTCGATTGAATATCCTTAAATGACTAACTACCTGAAACTTCTAAGCATAACCTTGGAAGCTGGGAGGATTCAGTGGCCCTGGTAAGTGACTGGTTAGACCAGGCGCTAGCAATAGGTCCCTTGGCATGTTCGAAGAATGTCCGTGTCTCGGGGAGTCATTCGCGAAAGGCAAGTCATAGGTTTGTTGGATTCTATGAATCATGTTGACTCTATTATTTCTTCATAGACGGCGCTTATTTACTCCAGGTTATAGATACGTGGTGGAACTTTTGGATTTTGAATCCATCTTCGAATGCATGCTCAGACTCCCGCCTAGTCCAGGCCTCGAAACGACGAGCCGATATGCAACATCGGTCATGGGTTATTATCGTAAAGTTCAATGAGATATGGTTTAAAAAAAGGGGCACTCGTGTAACATGACATCCATAAAATACCCCTTTTTAATTAGACCTAGCTGCCTACGGTATTCGCAGGGAGGGCGTGGTTACTGGTCTAAGAGCGGAGAGCCTCGACTAAACAAACATTGGGCTGTCATCGTCGAGGTTAGCAAAATAGCCAGCATGACCTTGCGTAGATATTCCACTAGGTGGCTCGATTAACGATCTCGCAATCCATTGCCCTACAAGGCAGATGGATTCGATTCAAACAGGTCTCAGCCTTACAAGAACGTGGACGTCGGTCCCACTTTGGGGGCGGTTACCATTTCTGGCCCCTATCCCATAGAGATCCAAAACCGTACGGCGGAATGAATACCGCCCCCAACCTGGAGAAATACCGGGCTAGGGTAAATCAGGCTATATTTTTAGACTAGACGTTAAGAGATTATGTAATTATTTTTATAGGCTTGGTTCATGTATATAAAGAAACTACGGATTTGGAGAAGAACGAAAGCGAGACGTGATATGGCACGGACTATGGAGGGAGAAAGATGGCGGACTAAACTCCGCCTAGTCCACCAAAGTTAGCAGTACATTTCAAGCTAGTGACCACCACGTGGGTGACAGAAAACGTGGCTCTCTGGCGCTTGATGGGACACTAAAGCCCTTAGGATGAGAAATCTCCGAACCACTCAAATGTGTATTATTGACATAATCCATTCCATTTCTCTTCTCGAACAAAGGATTTCGTGAGGATAAACGTGTTGGTTATTCGATCGATATCCTTCAGGTAAGTAGGATGTGAAACCTAGACGAGGATTGTCCGAAAACAGCTTTCCAGAACACCCCTCAAACAGCTGGGTTTGGTATCGAATGGATGGGATGCGGCTGTTACTTACGTGCTTGCTTGCCTTGCCCCGATCCCCCTCCGATGGGGCTGCTGCGCCTACCGCATCACCATCCTTCCGAGCTTTCCTACGAGGAGCAATCACGATCTAACTATCATCACCCTCGTTCGTTGATGACTAGCGTCTTAGAAATCTACCCTAAACCAAATCCCGAAGACGTCTAAATCACACAAGAGGTTTCAACGCTGTTTCTCGTGACGGACCTGGTTTAGTTCGGTAGCCATTGCATCCATCCTCTCGGTCCGTTACCGACGCACATACTTGGACCCAATCGAGTACTGGTACAGACCGAAAAGAAAAAAGATTTACAGATTTTTTTATGTTTGCCTAGGATCGAGCACGTTCACCGCTTTATCAGGGTACATACGTGCGAAGAGGCCCTAAGTTCTGACTTAGTCCGCTAACCACAGAGCCGGGACGTCCGCGGACGGCTAGACGGATATCCCAGCGTGCTCATTAGTTAGCTCTCATTACCTAGGTAGGTAGAGGATCGAACGCATACAACATATACATTCGTACATATACGTAACGTGGGATAGGATAGGGATGGATTGACGGGCAGGGGGGTTCGGCTCGAGGGAGCGGCAGTAGCGATAACAAGTATCGATGAAGGCGAAGGGATGAATCTCGCGTCTTGTTGAACCAAACGCTTTTGCCCCTTTCGCCAAATTCCGCGCGCTTTGAAGGTCGACGGGTTTGCATCGGGATTCGCAACCTTAGTCTACGGAAGTCTTGGAAACAATATAAATTATTTACCTTGGCGTCGTCATACAGGAAAACACGCATATCAGAAGAAACGAACGACCAGACGAATAGATATGAGCGAAAAAAGAAAAGGATCTTCCGGGCTGAACGCATCCAACCATCCCCTAGTCTACATAGGAGATAGATAGCACTGGCGACCGCAACAGCAGCCCTCTACAACGCCAGACATTCTGTAGCACGAAAGAAAAAAAAGATTCCCATGCAGCCATGTGAGAGTGAAGGAGCTAGCACTTTAGCAAGCAGCGCACGCACGTCCGCTAAAATTAATGGCTTAACAAGAACATGCTATGTCGTGCCAGCCAACCCAGCAGCAGCTGCCGCGCTGTGCCGTAGGCGAGCAAAGGATCGCCATCCCTGCCGTCCCCCCTTCCTAAACCAGCCAGTCCTGTGTCCCGCGACGAACACACCGGCCGGCGGGGCCATAGCAAATTTAGGTAATAATACATACATACCTATACCGCACGTGAAGATCTGTGTGCTTGCTGCCGTAACCCCTATGGGGAGGAGCGTGCAGCTGGTATGTAGGTACATGGCAAGCAAGCAAGCAAGCAATAAACCGCGTGCCCGCGCGACGACGGGAACGTGGGCCTGGCATCTAGGCAGGTATGGAGCGGGATGCTCGACCCGTTAGTGTTGGTGGAGGGGGAGGGAAAAAATAATAGCATGCCCAGCCTACAGCGTACATACGTAGAAGTCGAATATCAAATTTCGACGGGGTACATATGAAGAGCGATGAGCGTGGGACTTTTGGAAAACTCGGGTCTAAATCGCGAGAAAAGGGGCACAGGTATGATTCTGAACAAAGCGTTTTTTTAAACAACCATCGATATCTATCCGTGCCCCATTCAGCGTACCCGTCAGTACGAGGTCCGAACCGGGTTTGGTGGGCACTTTTGCACAAATATTGCTGTCTGAGGCCGAGTTAGTTTCTTGTGTTATTTGATCGTATGGATGTACCTGCCTACGAACGTGGACCTTACGGTGTATACGTTGCTAAGCATGTAAGTATGTAGGTAGTTTTGTAGGAGCATTGCGCATTGAGCAACCTGACGGAGATTCATTCTGCTTCGGTACTCTTTAGCCCTAAAAGCCGCAGGGAGGGGAGCGTCGAAGGATGAGAAGGAATGGAAAAGTTCTGCCCGGCGTCTACGATTGCACCGTTTACGCGATCTGCGTGTATACATACGATGTCGTAGTCCTTCTTCTTTCAGAGCTGCGCGTACACGTAATAAGAACTCTGCAGCACCTCTGCGAGCCTCCTTCATGCATAGTTTAATTCAGATGCAACTCCACTAATGTAGAGCAGCAGAGACTGCCTTAGTTCGATCTTGACTGACTCAGAACTCTAACTACGTGACAGTGAAGTTACAAACTGTGGTTCTCGACCCTGCTTACGTCTCCATCGTCGCGTTTGTACCTACGTACGTAAGGCAAGACTACGATGTATCAGGGCTGGAAAGGATCGTGATCCTCAGCCTGGGGTCAGCTAGAGCTAGGAAGTTATCAAGCCCAAAAATTAGCCGCCTAGCATCCAAGTTAGGCGTAGCCGGATGGGTATTTTGATATTTACCTATATTTAATCATCTAAATATAATTCCTATCGTCGTAGAATGCTTGCTCTGCAGAACCGATGGTAATCTGAAGCCAGACAAGGCAGCCCAAGACTGAGAGACGGCGTAAAAGGTGGGTGTTGAATCCTCGTCATCAAAATTCCTTGTTATCTTGGTTGGGAGCTGTTGGTTGACCGCATAGACGGCTATAGGGTCTTAGCTTTCAGACGATCGTAGCAGAAGTATCTTGCATACACCCAAGCAGTTACCAGAGAAAACGAACAGATTACTGCCTAGGCATGTTTTTTATACATAGTACCTAGTAGGAATGCCTGTGATCAAGGTAGTTGTTGATTTTCCCATGGAACTGTAGAGTTAGCCATGCGGCAAAGACTCATACCATGGTTTGTGGCCACCATTGACAATGATCCATTGGGTTGTTGGAACTAACAAGTTTAGTTTTGAGCCTAGTAACAACCGGGAGGTATTATCGTGATGGATATCAATAGGAATTCCGGTGTAAGGCTGGCCCCCTATAAGGCACAATAAGCTTTTCAGGGTCAGTCGAGACTCAGTTGTATGCATAATCAAGTCCCCCTTCCCCAGACGTCGAGAAAATGGTAACTACGCCACTCTTGTGCGGCGTAAGCTTCTTCGAAGTCTTCGTACGTCAACTAATCATATCGGTTAGAAGCTCACTTATTACGGCTACCCGCGGGTCCACTCTAGAAATTTGCTGTGCCGCGGTTCAACATATCTAAGGTTTCAATAAGATCCAGATACCCGTGCTGTTTCGAGACAAGATCTTTCGGTGATAATGTGACCCGCATTTGCGTGAAGAGACGGAGGATCAGAGAGAAGGGGATGTTGGTTCTAGATTTGGTAAGCCGTTCTTCATCCATCGTGAATTCTGGGGCTACAGAATGGGAGTGCCGAGAAAGATTCACACGAGCGGCGTTAGTGAGCATCATCCAGGATCCCATTACAAATTAGTAGCTTTTACATCAATACCTGGTAATTCCAAATTTGGGGCAAGGTGTGGGAGCTACGCCGCTGGAACCTAGTCTTTGTTTTGAGCTATTACTAGTACGTGTTGTATTTCAAAGCCTGTATTATTAGGAGGTAGGAAAGTACCTAGTTAGGTAACAATGCCTATCTTAGTATTGAATGAACAAGAGCTGCCGCGCGCCTGAGTAGATCATACGGTAACCATCTAGGGTCCACATTGTTACCCGTAAGAGTAATTTCATCGTGATAGGTACTTACCTGTTACTGTAATAGCTGAAGCCAACTTGTAAGAATTCGTCTAGCCTCACCGCTGTATCTTAGTAAAAGTGTCAACCGCTCTGTCGCCTAAACATCTTGGTTATTTTAGTGCAATACTATGCGTTATATCGGTAAATGGCAAGTTATAGGAGAGTATGAATACGATATAAATGGTGTGGAGGCTTGAGTTCATATGTTCCCCAAATAAAACTTAGGTAGATAAAATAATAGCCACTTAGTTAGTTCAGGGGCTCTCTGGATCTTTCAAGTTTTAAGGTAGCTCACCTGGGTAGTTAGTTCGTATCGTGAATGTAAGATTTTACCGAATACCTCCATGTATTTTCACAGTAATGTTGGAACCTGAATGAACGATTTATTACAAAGTCTAGTGTTAGTTTAATTCTGGTATTAAAGGGTGTTTATGATAACTTAGAAGTATTATAAATATTATAATCCATATATAATGGTTATAATTAGTATCTTGACATAATAATAATACAATAAACTTATATAAAACACAACGGGTTTAAGTTAAAAACTTACAATATCAAGCAATTATATGCAATTGTAAAGTTATATAAATAGTGAAACTAACATTGTCATATTGGTTTCAAAGAGAGAAGCATAGTGAACGAATATAAGAAAATGTTTCTGTCCTCTTCGGATCTACATTCCCTAGGGGAGTACGGAGTATACCTAGTGAATTGTTAACTCAAAGGTCAATTATGGGTTCATTGGATTCACACTACCTTCAACACTACAGATGCCGGATTATAACGTGAACAGCGGAAAAGTAGAAAGAAAGCCTTTTCACGACGTGTAATTACTCTACTACTCGGAATAGGAGAACAACTATAAATATATCCGCAGATTTGATAAATAGGGGTAATATGAAAACGGCGTGGGAAAGCGAGGGATTTCATAGATAGACACCCGAAATGATCACTGTAAAATAAAGAAATAGCTAGGTTAAGAATCGAATTATATGTTTCGCTAGATCATACGACAGGAGCTATCTTAGCTACCGATGTGTGTATAGTAAACCAATCGTGACCAGTAGAAACGCCATTCGCATCAACCGCCCATGTACCATCTTCAACCAGGGACGTCCAGTGATCGAAGACTTCAGCGAGTCGAGGATCTCTAGGCGGACCCCATCGACACGGAGACCGGAACTCGCAAGCGCTGCAAAGCCCAGAGCTGGCAACGAGACGCACCAGGTCCGAGTTGCTTGTGTCGGGCGCTATGTAGAGCCCGCTTTGGCGATTGACCGTGAACTTTCCGAACCCCCAGTTCTGGTCGAAAGCGTTGATGTTTTGGTTTGTGCTCTGGTCGACATTGTGAGGTACGGAGTCAACGCCGGGCAGAATTAGCGTCGGCCAGTCTTCTTCATCTCCCAGCCAATGGGTCCGGCGTATCGAGTCTGGTACCTCGACACCGTAGATTTCGTCGAGGAGGAGCGGTGTGAACACGCGGATTCCGGGTGCGACAAAGGGGAAGTCCGGCCGATTCGCAGTACTTAGAAATCTAACCGCAAAGGTGCTTATCTTAAATGGCTCTAGTATTTGAGAATCTAGAGGTTCTAGACGATGGTGGGAATGAACTTGGTTCTCATCAGACGGCATGCGAAGCTCGATGCTCGAAATGAGGCGGTGGAAGGCTGCGATGGACTGCTCTACATCATGTTGTGTCCAGTTTCTGACCTTGATGGTAGCCTCTTGTGCATCCCAATAGAACTTGCCGGTAGTCCATGCATCTAGTGACTTCTGCAATATCACCTCTAGCGGTAGCCACTGATCAGAAGGGGGGAAACGAGGTGAGTTGCCGCTATGCCAGACGGCCTGATACGACAGGATATCAACATAGATTCCGCCGTCGATAGGCGAATCACCGTTATTTTGACCATAGAGCAGAACGAAAGACGGCTCGTGGCTGACACGGTCAGTCCAGAATGTCCTTGGGTCTGGCTGGTACGTGAATGGAGTTAATAGATCCACGCCTCCATTCGAGGCTGGTGGCGTGGTATTAACCAGGCGTAAAAAGCGGTACAGCGGTAAATCGTCCAGAGAGGGAACTTCAGTGAATTCGGGCGCTATGTCTAAAAAGCGAGCTGAAAGAGTTTGCTCAATTTGTACATCTGGGCTATGTTCGGTTGCCTTTGCGAGGAGCTGATTGTGTAGATTCGCGCAGCGTTCTGGAGAGAAGGTCGAAGTTGACGAGTCCATCGCGCTTGTATTGGCCTCAGTGTTCATACCTGGCGGTTGGTGGAAGGTATTTAAGAACCTTGCTTTTAAAATACACTCTTAGATTTTCTTTTGTTTGTGCCGATATAAATTTACCTAGCTAGGTAATTCGTGCCGTACTTTCGCATCCTCGTATTGTCTGCGATACCAGCAACTATAACCACCCTCATTTGACTGGGCTATTTTGTTTTATTCTTTTGCTCTATTTCATGTTCCATTTTGTTGACCTCGGCATCTACACCTTCCTCAACACTGGCGGGTGACAGGTTGGTGTCGGGTTTAGCAGCTTTGCGCTGCTCCTCTTCATCTTTCTCTTGCTCTGCGAGTTTTTGTTCTTCGTGTCCAAGTTCCTGGAAATCTATATCCTCGAAACCGATTCTTTTTAGAATCGGAGCGGTCGCATGACGATATAACGTATGACCATTGACCAGATCTCCCACTTCGACACTCTCGACGCCCTTCACGTTGAGTATTGGGCTAAGTCCAGCTACGCCGAATTGGATGCTACTGGTTCTAGATAAGAAACCGAGCATGTAATCTTTCGTGCTGTATACGTTAACCACTCTACCAGTGACCACAGAGCGAACCCGGCGCCAGTCAGCAGAGTTACTCGGAGCTGGTGCGCCTAGTATTATCGCGTTTTCGATGAGCCCAAAGGCTTTACGCTCGGCGAGCTGTTGAAGGCACACGAAGACAACTTTAGCGCCGAGTGAATATCCCACGAGCGTGACAGGTCGTTCGCCTTGCGCTTTGTTGATGAGAGCGTCCGCAAGCACCTCTCCGGCCTTCTGTGCTCGTTGATTGGCGACGTACCAAGGATTGTCAATGAGATGGCGGGCTTTCTATGTACCTAGGTATTAGTAATCTACTACATGAGAATCGTACATCTGGAAGGAGGACTGTTGAGAGAACCTCCTTAACTTACAAGGAGTGCTAATGGCCATAACCCAGCTGTTAGTGCAGCGAACACGGTGCGTTTAATGATTTCGGACTTTGCATACGACCAAGCGGTAGAAGTGACCAGAGTAGTAAGTGCATTTCCCAGATTCATTAGAGATTCAAGCTCAAAGCGAAGAGCGAACGTCTCCTGGCCTGGCCCAATGCACTTCCAAGGCCCAACTACGTCGTCTTTATTGCCGAGCCAACCTGATATGCCAATGGCAACCCGCAATCGGCGTGCATCGATTTCGCTCTCCGGCTCATAGGTGGGCACAAATGCGAAATCTTCCACGTCTCTAGTATATTGTTCCACTGTGATGTTTAGCGTGAGTACCTAAGGCAGGTATAATATCTTAAAAATGGCGTAAAATGGGCTGGCTAGGTAGGTAGGTACTCACTAGCTTTGCTGGTCATCCTAGCACCGTAAGCCCCGAATAGGCTACCGACCAGTACGCCACTTCCAGCTAATGCTCCAAGGTATCCCGCGGTGGCGGTAGCTCCTAAGCCAATGCCACCCAAGACTGTACCGAGACCAGATGCTAAGAGAGGCGCTGCTAGTCCGCCTGTAATTCCGATGAGAGCTGCGCCGGCAACTCCAGCGATGCCCATTTTCCATCTACGGGATGTCCGATTTTTGTCGGCTCGTTTCTTAGCCTCCTCGTCACCCGACATTTTCTCGGCTGCTGTTAAGAGTCCTCGGGCGACCTTCTTTTCGTCTTCGGAAAGTACCGTGACCGAGAGTCCTAGGCTCGTGGTTAGGTGTAATAGGAGGATGCGTGAGTGCGCATTGTAATGTTCTAGGCTTAGGAGAAGCAAGAGTACCGAATGAAGTATCAACATTCTCTTCTCTTTAGCCACTTTACGTAGTGGGGTTTCGATAGGGACATATAGCTTTAGTAGTGCTTCGGCAATTTCATCCTCATTCTCGTCAGTCTTGGTTTCGTCCGTACTTGATTCGAGATCTGAACGTGATAGTTCTGGTTTCGCTTGCTTCGACTGGTTTTGAGCTGTTTCTCTTGAATTAACAACTTCCCCAACGCGGAGAATAATGCTGTCTCTCCAGTCATCAAAGAACTCCAGAGCACTGGTCTTCAATGCAACCATCTTCGCTTCGCCAACTTCCTTCTCTAGCTTAGTAATTCCAGCTCTGTCTTTCTCTGATGTTTTCTGTATTTCCTTATTTCGTTCATCATTGGTCGTTTGATCGATGTCGACGGACTCGACATTTTCGGTCGTATTTGTAGCAAGCTGATCCACTTGAGAAGTAGTTTCTTTAGGGTCAAATGTGTTGACGAGCCGTTTGCGCATGAGTTCAGTGATATCACAAACCAGAATCGTAAGGGCACTACGATCTTCATCTGTTTCTAGTACGGTTATTAACGACTCGCCTTCATCGTCTTGCTTCGTGGTTGGCTCCGCCTTGCCACCACCGCTCAAAAACTTGTTGGCTTTCCGAAACATCGATTAATTTCTGTTTTCGTTGACTGATTATTTCCTAAATATTTTATTGACTGGACAATAGTTTTTAATCACGATGTACGTAAAAGATTAAGTTGAATATACCTAGGCAGGTTGGATGGTTGAATATTCAAATGCCAGGTGGGCTTGCCGTTTCCTACGTCATCTATCTAGATATTGCTTACTGCCTTACAGCGATAACCCTTGTCAGGGAATACATAGCGGGGAGCGGTACCTAGTACCTCCAACGTTTAGCTAACTTTATCCCCTAAAATTCCCCGAACTACCTACGACAAACTCATCACTTACAGTTTTTGCCATTTTTCATCACTTTTGAGTTATTGACGTCCGGCATGATCTTTGATGGGTCTATGCTGGTTATTTCCAATATATCTCGAATAGTCTCATAAATGATCACGCAAGGCACCTATGTAAGCGCAATATGTGAGAATCTGAATCGTTGACATACTAATCACATTCTAGGATTTCGTTATGGATGAGTTGTCAAATGCCTTCAATACTTGGTGATAGGATGCCTACTTCTGATGCTCCTCAGTGGAGTTTTGCGAGACGAGTAAGAAAACTCAATGCATACCAGGCAGCCAGGTAGGTACGAATCGCGATGAGAACCTTGAACACAGAGGGTGGTGTGGCACACTGTGACGCCCCCAAAGAATATTGCTAGCTGAAAACCCAGATTTGGCATTCTTACATACAGCAGCTTTTGCTTCCAACCCCCTAATAAACGGTGTTAGGAGTACTCTAGCTAAATCATCAAGTCGCCGATTAAGCTGCCGCAATGCTTCCAAAATTCATATAGGGAGAGTTAAGGGGGGCGACCCTGACCGTCTTGGTTCCCATCCTACGAACAACCATCTGTCTAATGATAAATTGACTAATTATGCTATACCTACCTACACAGGTACCTATGCTCCTGTAATGCAGTTAAGCATTTACGGTACTGAGAATTGGCCACCTCTAGCAGCCATTGGATAGCAGTTTACTGTCATTATATAGAACATGCAGGTGAGATCTTAGCTTTGGTTTAGAGGGGAGAAGGATGATCATGCGGTACAGTGATCTAAAGGCGTTCATAGCGCTCGCCGTGGCTTTAAATTTGGGGTATTCTTCAGCAAGGGGACAGCCCTAGAGGCTTTAAGTCGTTTAGTTTCAGGGGTTCCAGCAGAGAAGAGCAAGGCAACACTCGCGTCACCAGAACTAGAAGTCCTGCATTACGATACGGCAGGCATGTCGACAGCAGTCTCGACTTCTTCGGACCTTGGCGATGTCGAGTTGTCACACCCGTCCTACTCATTGCCTACCTAAGACTTAAGTATTGTAGAGCTAGGTTGGCACGCATGATTGACCTTAACACAATGAATTTCGTTCTCTCGGTACCTGTTGGCCTTCAAAGCCAAATATTTATGAGTGAGGTCTAGGAATTGATTTCTTTCTTGGATCCACGTGTATAGGTATGTTCTGCCTATCATGCCTTAAGAAAAGCCACTGATTCGTCGCTGTAAGGGTTTGGGATGTAAGAGCTAGACCGCCATACGAGCAAAAGTGGATCGTTGTCAAGTTGGAGAACTTGGCCTCCTTAACCTCATCACCTTATTACTAGGTAATAAACAATACTATAATAATCACAGCTACTTTATATACTAAGTCTTGCTGCGAAACGGCGCGATGGCTGGGTTTGCAGACTTGCCTCCAGAGATCCGAGCTATAATCTGGGAGTTCTGCCTCCCAGGGCCACGCACCGTTGTGGTAAAAAGACTCCGCCACACACGCGCTCCCGTCGTTTTCCACATCTGCAGAGAATCGCGCGAAGAGGCCCAACGTCACTCATACGAATTAGCTTTCTCAGTGCCGTATGACGGTGGCTTATGGATGACATGGCACCGTCTCGACTTTAACGGTCGACCTGTGATCTGGTTCAACTTCTTGTTAGACCGGCTCTGCCTTGAAAGCATCGTCATCAATCCTGACGAGTGCTACAAAAGTTTCCGCCGCGTACGATCGCTTGGCCTTACATTCCCGCTAAAGTCTTCCTGGAGCCCGTTCTGGGATATTAGGTACCTAGGCCAAGCGTGGTTTTTAGGCCAAACATGGCTAAACCTGTTTCCACGGCTCGAAGAGATTGCGGTATTTAGGGCTGTAGCAAGAGGTTTGGAAAACGACTTAGAATCTGAATTTTTTGATATGGAGATTTGCAAGAATCTTAGGGCAGCGTACTGGGCGCATCCGTCCAATGAGATCTCCGCTGGCGCCGCGATATTAGCATCCAAGATCTGGTACCGTTCCTACGATGGCCGTTTCGGTGACCTTACAACGCTAACCCGTGGGTACCTTGGGATTTATGTGTATCGTCGCGACATAGAAAATACCACTTGAAACACGTGGAATAGAAGGTATGGGTTGAGGATGAGTTGAGGATGAGTTCAGGGGTACCCTCATGATCATTAATGCCTATAATGAAGTTATCTTAGCAAGCTCACATTAAAATTCGTTCAATGCTACAGTGCCTTAACCTTTATTGTGGCCCGTGCCTTAATTCAGAAACTTGAAACGTCGAGAAGGCTATCTCAAGTGCTGTATTTACAATTTTAATACCCCCAAGCCCTAAACCCCGAAACAAGAAACAGTTCGCTACCCGAATTTCTTTCACAGACATATCCATCCCATCCTCTCCAAATTTAGTATTTCAACTAAGGCTTACACAGTTCTGCCCTGCCCGATATTAAAACTTTCGCCAAGTTATCCAGCTGCCCGATAGCACCAAACGCATCATGGAGCGACCTGAGACAAAAACACCCCTCAAATGCTATAACTACAGATGTACCGATAGCTCACCTGAAAATTCCCTCCGCTGTTCTGGGTGCATGAAAGTTCGTTACTGCTCCAAGGATTGTCAGAAACAGGACTGGAAAGAGCACAAGTCCTTCTGCAAGCACGTATCGACCAACGGCACCAGCTCTGCGTCTTTTGATGACTTGGAATACTATCAGAAAGTCGCGGCGCATGATGCTAAAGCACAGGACCTTGCCAATGAAATTGGTCTTGTCCTTCCCACCGCCACCAATAAGTCATCTCTTGCACTCAAGTAATAACCTTTCGCTCCAGACATAAATAATTCTTCTAACAAATATCTGCAGCCTGCCCATACGACGTCTGGTGCTCACGGGAAAAGATACACCAGAGAACTTCTCACTTTTCTTCGGCCAGAACAAGTCCAATTCAGTCACCCAAGCCCATAAGTCTAACCGCATGGAAGCACTCCTAGACCCCCCTGCGGGTTCCTCCATGGATGTAATGGCGAGATCCAGAAAGTTTGACGAGAACTGCCCTCCTCGCAATGTTCGTCCGCCTTCCCAAGCAGAAGCTGGGGAAATCAAGAAGATCAGAGACATGCAGGAAACTATTCGTCGGCATATGGGGGCTCGGGGTGTCGAGGACGTTACCTCTAGTGATATGAGAGATATCCTGGTAAAGAACTTTGGTAATCGATGGTCAGAAGCGCTCCAAGTTTATAACCACGCTCTCAACTCAATGGATCGCAATATAAGGCCGCCGGGGATTTACGATTAACGGAATGCTTGACTTAGCAAACTCGATCCTACTGTGTTCGCCACGTTCTAGAAGATGCATTGCCGTGGTGAAATCTTGGAGTGTCGGGGATTGATCAGGGTCAGATTTAAGTCGTCATTTTGGAGGTCAAGTATAAGTGAGAAAGGCAAGAAAAGGTGTGGGTGTATAATGTACGGTAGCAGGCGGAGCGGGATGAACAGATCCCCCGGAGTTCCCGATAGCTCCGTTTGTGAGAAATCCGTTGTCCGGCTCCGGCCGCAGAACGGAGCACCGGCGCTCAGGACGCGAAAGCAGACCCCCTCCTGCCGCAAGTTCGATATTGCTTTGGGTGATGCTTGACAGATATTTACGCCAAATGACAAAAACCCCGAACCCCTATCTTTAAAAAATTGAACGCTTAACTTGATCATGTAGAATTTCAACCCCTGGAAGGTGACATTATAAAGCACTTAAAGAGAGCCAATGAGAAGACGCTGCTTGAATTCATGCAATTTTTACAACTGCTCCTAGTTTAAAAATAAGCAATTGCACTTTAGGACAGAGCACATATTTTCAGTAGCCATACTGTCATTTGCAAATTTCCAGAGCTAGAATATCCCTACTCCACCCAATAATGCAAGATAGCCATTCCACCCCATTTGGTTTCCTTGGGTATTGAATGCCTTGCCGGTAGAACTCCATATCTTGAATAATGTGTCAGTGATGACTTAAATCTAGCAACGTGTAGACCCTTTATTTAACTCCGGGTCCCCCAATCATTCATGCCAATTTGGATCCTCATGCAAATCATGTCGTAATTGTTGTACAGGGAAGAGCTTTGTTCACCTGAATAGCTTTTAATCGAAGACGTCCGCGTCCCCACCGTCCCATTCTTCATCTGATTCGTCCTCAGAGTCCAAGAAATCTTCCATATCAAAGTGTCGTTCCGTAGGCCGATGATTATCAACTTGGATATCTACTACGTCGCACATGCCATGAATAAATTCATCGTCATTTGGCACATGTTTCGAGACCTTTCTGACTTTGCGATTCAATCCACTTTGATCAGAATGGTCAGCGGCGAGTTCATCTTCGCTATCCTCATCGTCGGCGTCCTGTTCCCTAAGTAGACGCTCCTTGAGGAGTAGTCCGCTCCCTCTAAGTCGCTGGAGCTCTTTGCTAATAGCTGAGGCTCTCGCAAGTTGAGCCTTACTAAGATAACCCATCTCGCCTTCCGATGAAGTAGGTGTTGGTGTGATGTTCGCTATTCGAGTGCTTCGTCGCTTCGGCGTGGACAAAGCCTTCGTATTCTTAAATTCCTTCTCATCTTGCCCGTCGGATTTGGTCGGAGGCAGGCTAAGCACTTTCATGTCTTTGGCAGACTTTATCTTTCGTTTGAAAACTCCCACCATCTTCTCGACCCAGAATTCCCGAAGTTCTTGGCGCTGGCGCCAGCCTATGTCCAGTGCAACCCTGAACGCAATGCGCCGAAGGTTGGGAAGGTTCGGAGCACTCTGCACCAAGGATCCGAAAAACATCTCTGCTGCTTTGAAGTCCCACTTTCGCATGTGTAGAATTTCGATGGATTGTATCGAAGCGGGCCATGCCGGCACTTGGTGCTCCTCAAGAAGTGTATCATATTCCGGTTTGTTGTCGGCGTAGTGCTCATGATGTCGGAAATACGATAGATCCATGTAAAGGCACTCTAATTTCGGACAGGCCGACTGTAGGATAGGAAGAAAAGCTAGACTCAACGACTGGCAATGGTTGATTGTGAGACTTCGCAAATGGTGACCATGAGTCAGTAGGAAACTGGCAAGATCATCAGCCACCACCTCCCAGCAATTGATGAGTTCAAGATGTTGGAGTGTGACTGGAAGTCGATTCAGTAGTGAGCCGGTTACTAGCGTGCTGGATTCTAAGATGAGATGTTGCAGGTTTGGTAAAGCAGATATGCAGGCAGAAAGTTGGACCATCTTGAGATAATTTTTTCTTTCCATCTCCTCCGTGAGCTGAGCTTTCATCGGTAGACCCCAAGAAGCAATCTGATAGTTGACGAAGGCCACCTTCTGGAGGCTGGCAAAACTGGGGTGTAGATGGAATTCTTCTAATTTTTCAAGAGATAATGTGTCATCAGTCAGGCGAGAATTCCAACGCCAACTCTTCAGTTCCCTAGGCCTAACTTCGTGTTGCTCACTGCCGGCCAGCATTTTGAGTGTGTCGTTCGCATTACACTTAAATCGGACGGTCTCATCCAGACTACGATAGGGCGGCTCGTCAGATACGTGGTATAAGTCTACACGGGATAGACTTTTAAGAAGCGGGATCGCATTCTGCAGGCCAAGATAGTTTGTCTGGTACTTCGGGGCTAAAGCTGAGCCTACTTCTATCAACAGAGTCTCGATCTTGGGTCGGTACTTAATCTTCGTATCGGCAGGATCCATGTTCAGAGTGGTGATAAATTGGTTCATGGACGTGAAGGGATCCTTGGTGTAGCGCCACTGATGGTAAAACGGAGGACATCTGTAAAGGGCTGCTAAAGCAGGTTCCGCGAAGGGAGTGCAAGTTCGTGAAGCCGATAACAGGGTGCTAACGGCTTCGGAGACATCTTCTCGGCGGGATGAAGGATCACGGATCGGTGCAGCCACTTTGTCGAAAATGCACAATAGAACAAGATAAGGGAGCTCTACCCAAGGAGGGTAGGAGGAAGGGGTGCTATTAAAAGCTGTAGGTGTGGTTGCAGTCGAACTTGGTGTACGAGGAGTGACTGCCTTTGTCTGGCTTTCTTTGATACTGGTTTGGGCTCGAGTTCGACGTTGGACCTTCTGGGGGCGTTGTGGGTAATCATCATGATTGTTCTTTCGCTTTCGTGCAGCGGTCGAGGTGTGTGGAGTAGGAATGCTGGCACTATCCGAGTAATCATCGTCCATAAATTCGTCAGGTGAGGGGGAGAGTGAAAGTGCCCTAAAGCGAGTAGTCACAACTGGCTGTGTTGATCGGGTTAATCGTGTTGATCGGGTCTCGCAAGCTGGTTTCTCTGGTTTCTTTAACTTAGCAGCTCGGGACGGATTGCTCCGTACTGCTCGTCGAGGACGATTCATTGTCAAGTACGAGGACCATCAATAGTTTGGTCGAGTGGTAGGGGAATGAGCTGCATAAAGATAGGAAGTAGCGACCGAGTAAAGTTGAGTTTCGTAAAATTGGAGGTACCTAGGTAGCTTTTGGGGGGGAAACATGAAGGTGAATCAAGAATGAATAAGTTGTAAGTTGTGTGAATTGATCGGTTGATGGATTAAATCTGACCGACCGAAGGTTTGCGACAGAGAAAGGTACGACGTATGAAGTACGGCATAGATGATTGACTCACTGCGGAAAGATAATAGGTTAGCAGGGTGACCCACTGAATAAGGTTTCAAATTATGATTGGATCTACGTCTTACAGCCCCACCATCTCCTTGATCTAGGTCAATACATAGCTGAAAGCGTACCTACTCCAACTGCGAATAGACTTCCAGCTTCGTATCTAACCCAGAATTGGTGGTGGTTTCTTTTTAGGTACGTAGCCGATACTATGGGATCCATTATCTAGGTAGTGTAGGTACCTAGGCCCCTACATATGTGGTCACTGGTAGTCAATACTATTGACGAGAATAGCCACCAAGAATTTCGCCGAAGCAACTATGTTTAATGATCTATTATTAAACATTGGGAATATATTACATAGTAGGAGAAATAGATTATAGGTTTATACCTAGGTAATTATAAATGTAAAATATTTGTATCTTTAAACCCAGCCGCTACTGCCCACAAGCATTGACATTGACTTCCAAGGTTACAAGCCCATGAAAACTATCAGGTCGTGTAACTAATCGATGTGTACCTAGGATATACTAGCAACAGCGATATAAATGACAGTGATTACATTGAACAGAACACATGGCCACTGCCGCTTTTTTCGCGGATCCTCAACAGAATAATAGGTTAACTAGGTACTATATGTGGCTATTAAAATCACACCCAACGCCTGTATCAACTTTTACAAAATTTGCCAGAAGTTTGCTACGTGAAGTCTTGATAATTTACCAGCAGCCCCAAAAAGTGGTTTGTAAATCGCTATAATTATTTTGAAGTTCCTTGTGATGAAAAAAGATCAACATGTTTGCAGTATGTAGATCCCATAAAGCCTGAGCTAATAAATACCCAAGTCTACCTATATTTCATATTTCATCGAGAGTTCATATGGATATCGGATATAATAGATACATATGTATTTCCTTCAATACATGTAAATATGTCCCAGCTTCAACTAGGTGCTGAAAGAACAAAATATTTAGGTTTTTTTAACGAATGAACTTGCGCAATACCATCGTTGCAGTTGCAAAAAAGTCCATGTCATCCTTGCAATGACTTGGAGATAACCTTGGAACTTGCAAACTTACGGTATATCCATGATGTACACAAGGAGAAATATGTGGACTAGGGAGTAACGGTAGCACCTGGCAGCATATTTGTGGCTTGTGATTCCTTAATTGTGCGGACCCGCTACTAAAAAGATGCGACAGTAGCCACAGGCTCACAACACTGAGATTTCCTCACCCCTACTCTAGTGTACTGCCCCTACCCCTGCAGGTCTGGTGCTTCGTGCTTTTGGTGCTGCTCTAACAGCCTACCTTGGTTAGTTGGAACGCGTCTACGGATTCTTCCACTTTTCACGCATCGCGGACATGTCAACCGCATCACATGCCCTCTCCTACTTATTCTTTATAGTCGGGTTTTCCCTATACTCACCATTGTCATCACAACATTTATGCGCTGGAATATTGGCTACTGTTGTCGCGAATTTCGTTACCTTTCGAGGTTGCATGTAAACAACCAGATCCATAGCCACACACAGACCCAGACCCAGACACAGACAGACACACCCACGCTTGACTTGTTGCTTGCTGCATATTTCATTCATCCCACGGCCCGGTTTACTGTATTCACCCATCCTTACTTCCTTACTTACCTAGACTACACTTTCGTTCATTTCTTAACATTATATCCACTCATTGATTTGTTGGCGACACCGAAGACTTCAATAATGCCTGCAAGGCTTTTATAATTCTTAATTGGTCGTGTTGGAGAGGGTGGTGCTTTCTAGTTTCCTAATTATTCGGAGACGGTCCGTACCTGCCTTCTCTGCATCCCGACTTAAATCGGGAAGCTGCCCGGATACATCCACAGGGTAACTGGCAACGGCAACTGGCAATTGTGCCGCCTTGACCTTCGCCTACATAAATAGGTACCTACTACTTACCTGATAATTTATTTAGGGATCTATTTTCTATCTCGGATTACCAAAACGCAGTCGGCCACAACTTCGTGGCAAGCTGCGCCGATGTTCTCCTTCAGAGATGGCTACCATGACTCCGTACAAACGCGAATTACCTTTCATCCACAGAGCTTGGAAGACTGCCGTCGACCACTTATCCCCATACAGCATGGGAATCAAGTTGTCTTCCACAAACGGTGACACTGTCGTCAATGATGACCATGCCCTCCGCGCAGCCAAAAGGCGTCGCATAACTGAAGACTCATCCGAGTCTACGCCAAAAGGCATCTTGGGCCATATGTTGTCTGAAAGAGACAACGACTTCGAAAAGGCGCTTCGTGTTGATGTGCTTCAGATTACACACAAAGACAGCCCTAATCACAGATCCAGCAACTTACTAAACGGCACAGGATCCCCTGTTAAGAAAGAAATGCCGGCTATACGCGTCCGTTGCAAGCTCACCATCTTCCGTTGGCGATTTCCTATCAAAGAAATTCGCGTACTTTATTGCGATAGTCAAATATGCAACCTCAAGGTATTTCGCGACGCCGATGGTGCATGTCGGAGGGCTAGGATTTATCTCACATCACCATTCCATGTCCCAGCGGAAAAATTATGTGTGGAACGGGATGACGAAAACGGGTTTGACCTAGCTGACCAGTACCTGGTTCAAGCTGAGTTGGAATCAGCAGGAGATCCCAGTTGGCCGCCTGTCGATCTGCTGCCCAAGGATGAAGCCAACGATCCTGAATCCAGCCGCCCTCAGCTTTGGGTACTCACTTCTTCGGTCGTCTACAAGTTCGAGAAACACCGGGCATCTGCTCCTGTCAAGATCAGGAAACGGGTTGGATCTGAGACTGCGCTTGACCTATCGATGGATATGGATCTTAGATGGTCAGCATGTCATAGTGCAGGCAGCGTCACAGAAGTCGAGGTTTCTCCACCAGAGGTTCCGACATCATTCACCAGCGGAGCTTTGGAGCCATTAACAAACGGGCATGTCAATGGGAGGTCAGATAATACAGCCAATGGCCCTACAAAAGATGAGGATGTCTTTATAGAAGAAGACGAAGACCATGAAGAGGCTGCAACTCCCAGTCGTTCACTAAGAACAAGAGAGAAGCAGAACTATAATCTAAAACTGCTAAGTGACAAGGCACGAGGCAAGGAGCGGAAGGAGCGGAAGCAACGTAAGTTGACAGATGCTAGAGTACAAGAAGCTGGGCAGACTACCTGGGTGCTTCCCCGATCTGGCAAGGTTGTATTGAAGGGTTACCAGTGCATAAGATGCTTTGGAGTTCATTCATCGATGAACCAACTCATAGAACATGTAAAGGTTCATCCTGAGTTCAAATATGACTTTGATCCGAGCTCTTCTCGAATCTGGGTTTTCCAACACGGACAAGAAATCCGGCGTCGCTCCAGCTCATCTCTCCTAAAAGTCGCTAGTTCTGAAGATCCGGAGAGCGAGTTGGAAGATTACGTATCCCCTCATAAGATCCAAAAGTCTCTAGCACAGTCGAAAGTAAGTTCGCATCACATCGAAAGCCATCTGGTTTAAATCTATTAAACAAATATGCTAACTTCGTATGTAGTCATTACCTTCCAACACTCCGAAGGATCCTAGGCAATTGGTCCCGAATAACAAACAGCCTATGTATGATCGCCTCAGTAAAGCAATTCTCGAGCCAGGCACATTTGTTGATCCACCTGATATCGACGATACTTGGCTGGTGCAAAAGCATCGGGATATCATCCGCGACTACAGCGATGTTCATCCAGCGGAGAAAGAATTTATCTCAGAGTGGGATGCCTATGTCAACAAAGAATGTGTCACTTCGGATCCACATCTACAGGATGTCTACCTCAAGTTCGTACAGCTTAAGGCGTCATGGTTAGTTGCGTCTCAAAGTCGCATGACGGAATTTTCGAAACATTTGGCCTATTTGAAGGCAAGGGATGCCCTAACTGAATCAACAATCGCCAAGGTTATGGCGATCATGCGACAAGCAAGGGACGAGAAGCGCCCTGAGCAGCCTGAAATTACAAAACCACCGTCCCCAAGAACTCAGTATCGCAAGTCAGCATCAGGATGCGCCGTCTGTGGTCAACCTATCAGGGGGCCTTCTACACTGATCTGCTCTAATATGGTGAGTGTCATTCAAGACTGTACCCGAGAAACACATCATTAATAATTCTTAGGATTGCGAGAAACCCCTTTACCATGCGGATTGCATCCGAAAAGCTGCAAAAATGCCGGTAGAGAAGCATAATTGGTGTTGTAATAGCTGCTGTGACAGCTAGTGAGGGTTATTAGAGGTGTACGCATTACGATATTTCCAACCTGCCTCGAACTTAACGCCATAACCTACCTAAGTACCCATCTAGGTAGCTGGTGAAGGTAGTCATTCAAGAGGTGATTAAAGGCGGTTGGTGCAATGTAAGAGTCTAAATATGGCATCCAAGAGGGGGGTGAATGAATAGTTCATTCAGAGGTCCGGTCATAACCAACATTTGAAAGGCGCGCGATAGGGCATCTTGAAACTCTTTGTAACTACATACCCGCCCCTACTTACCTATCCCTACCTATCCACGAACTCCGTGCTGAACCTTTCTTAGAAGGGTTGGATGAGCCTGCTTTTATACCTGCAGCTCGTGGAGTAATAAACGAATCATAAACCCTTTATCAAAAATTTAAAATACCAATTCACCTTGCACTTTAGGTATATAATGAATTTCCGTACAATTAACTTGTGGCTAGACTTCTTCATCAAAGGTAGGTACTTACGATAACCCTAACATAGCTCAAAATTCCTTGATCAGTGAGAATGATTCTTCGATACTTTGTCTTCCGCAATAAATACGATTAAATTATATCCTTAGCTACATACTTACTAGATAAGAGGTTGAAAGCCCCTTAATGCCGAAAGAATAGGTAAGTTTAAAGCTCCATTCCTTACCGCCTCCAGCAAGCTCCTTTCAAACTACCTATAGTGATTCGCCAATCACTTGTCTCTCAGCATAGTTCAGCTACAAGCCACTACCAATATATAACCACAGAGACGCTACTATCGAAATTCACGAGCACTGTAACTTTTAAACGTATCATCTAATTCTACTTATACATGTGAGTACAACTTAGGCCACTTTAATATAACTGTAAAATATTGAATTATCAGGACTTGATTTACATTTACTTCGAGATACCTGATCCAATCCCCAGATTAGTTAAACAGGTACTTATATCAATTCTTAAACAAGTTCAACAGCTAGATCTAGGCAGGTAGGTAGTCGATTCAGGAGTCGGCCCCGGATCCAGCCCCCGGATCAGTTCGATGATCAATTCAAAAGCTATTTCTTTGATTACTGTAACAGACAGTCGAATGTTCAGTCCGAAGATCAATTCATATATACCTAGGTAGGTAATTACAACAGTCGATTCAAAAGCCGATTCAATAATCAGTTAAACAGTCAGCTCAACAGCTACTTCAAAAGGTTAATTTAAAAGTGATAGATTGAATGATCGATGCAATTCAACACTAAAAGGTCTAAACATTGAACGATGCAGTACGGGAAGGAATTTAAAGGTTGCCAAGGCCTAGATGTTGCGCTAAGAATAATGTTTTATCCAATTAATAGCGACAAAAGACCCTATCAATTACTTCTTAGTTCCTTAACTCCGCTCCTAAAGTCTAAGAGGACTGGACTTCCTGGAGTTGCATCGCACTTATTAGCCGTTCGCCGGAGTCGCCATGGCTCGTAGTATGTTCATAGTTCATTTACTTTCTATTTAGATCAACTTGGAGAAGTAGACCGCTGACCACGACATGGCATTGCAGTCCTTCCTCCTAACAGTCGACCGATTGTCATTTCTGGACCCTCAGGCGTCGGCAAAAGTACACTTTGCCAAAGGCTTCTAGGTGCACATCCGGGAATATTCGCTACAACTGTATCCCACACAACTCGTAAGCCGCGGCCCGGTGAAGCTGATGGTTCAGCATATTACTTTGTGTCGCGAGACAAGTTCGAATCACTTATCGCCGGAAATACTTTCATAGAGCATGCGGAGTTCAATGGCAACCTTTATGGAACTAGCAAACAAACAGTCATCGACCAGACGGCAAAAGGGTTGGTTGTTTTGCTCGATATCGAGATGGAAGGGGTCAAACAATTAAAGCAAGAGCAGTTGAAGGCGGATTCCCAGATCAATCCGCGATTTGTCTTCATTAAGCCACCAAGTTTCATGGCGCTCGAGGCGCGGCTTAGGGGACGGGACACCGAGGACGAGGGTAGCATCCAGAGAAGGCTGGCTCAAGCCAAAGCCGAGATTGATTACGCCGAAACAGGTGTGCACGACAAGATCATCACAAACCACGATCTCGAAAAGGCCTTTCAAGAACTGGAGGACTTCGTGTTTAATGTACACTCATCCAAAAATTAGACGTAGATCAACTGAAAGTTTTGATGCCATATTTAATCATATTAACGGTCATCATATGCGTATAACTACGTAAACTATCATCCGATTCAAGTCAGTGATTATTAACCTACCTGGTAGGTACCTGAGTAAGTTCTCGAACCTCCTTCCTTAAGCAGCGATCGGACTCCAAATAAGTTTCTCCAAAAACGCCCCGAGAGGGGAATGTCATCGCTGAGCCGTGTCCCAAACTCTACCGATGTCGTGCGATCCGAACACAGTCAGATGTAGCCGGTACCCCGCATCCGAGGGCGTTGGAATGCAGCGCCGTTGCCCAATCACCAGAGCTGCATGGGTTGTCGTTGATAACGACCTGCAGGTTGGTCTGTGATGCCCGCGTTGTCTAGGCCACGGGTTGTGGCGTCGTATCTGCGAAGGGATGAAGGGTTGTAACGTTGCGGGGTATATGTATGTGTCTATTACGAGCTGCTGGGTAATTATCTTATTCGACGGCAGCTCGAGTTTTGTGATGCTCTAGCGCACTGAGGCGTAAACAAAGAGGATTTAATGGATTACTTCCTAACCCCGCGATAAGAGACAAAGCCACTTCGGGAATTCCTCAGACTGCTGCAACATGGCGAAAGCTAAGGAGGACGGCAGGCAATCGCCTCGAGTAGAAGGGGATGAGAAAACAGAAACGGAAATGCGACAGGAGGTGGTCAGTGATGAGAAGCATGACTCCGAGAAGGGGCTCGGAAATGAAACTTCAAGGGAGGGCGAACAATATACGCAAATCGACCCGGCCATCGCTACTCGCATTGCAGAAAATGTTGACGATTTTATGGTGAGGATTTTATGCTTTCCCAAAGAGGGTTGTGGTAGTTAGTTGAGGATGAGAGTTAAGTTTATAATAGAGACTCGTGAACGAAGCAAACGAAGCGAATGAGAGGGAGCGGGACATGAAATTGTCTCACGCCTTCAAGGTTTACCCAAAAGCAATAGCCTGGTCTATGATTCTGTCGTCGTGTCTTATAATGGAAGGGTTTGGTACCGCAATCGTTGGGTCTTGTAAGTTGCATCTTACTGAGGCCTGCTCAAGTTGTAGGTATGATGCTAATATGTCGGTAGACATTTCATATCCTCCTTTCCGGGATAAGTTTGGCACTCAAGCCCCTAACGGAGATTACCAAATACCTGCGAGTTGGCAGAATGGTATCGCAGGCGCAACTAATGTTGGCGAAATCATTGGTCTTCAGGTATACATTACTTGTCCCTCTATATGAATCCGACCATATCCACTCAAAAAGAATTGTTTAGATTGCCGGCGTGTTGTGTGAACGTTGGGGTTATCGGTATACACTCATCTCCGCGTTAGTCGCTGTGACGGCGTTTATATTCTTCCCCTTCTTTGCCAATAGCCTCGCTGTTTTTCTCGTCGGCGAGTTATTTCAGGGGATGGCGTGGGGTGTTTTCCAGACCATGACGGTGGCCTACGCAGCCGAAGTTTGCCCCGTGCCCCTGAGACACTACCTTACAACCTATGTCAACCTCTGCTGGATTATCGGCCAGTTTATATCGTCCGGCGTGCTCGTTGGGCTTGAAGGTAGACAGGACGAATGGGGGTAAGTTTTGTGTCTCCTGTGATAATGATTTATGTTCTGAAATCCGCTCTAGGTATAAAATCCCGTTTTCTTTGCAATGGGTCTGGCCTATTCCCATCGGCATTGGTACATTTCTTGCACCAGAATCGCCATGGTGGTGTGTTCGGCATGGTTACAAAGAACGAGCAGAAGTGTCGTTGAAAAGACTAGCCCGTAGCTCTGGGTTTTCTCAACGTGACGCTGATGCGGCAATGGCTTGTAAGCACACAGACCCCTCGATAACATAAAAACGATGGTTGAGTTGAGCCATTTTATAGTGATGATATACACGGACGAGATGGAGAAACAACTTTCTGAGGGGACAACGTACTGGGACTGTTTCAAAGGCATCGATCTCCGGCGGACTGAGATTGTCTGTTTTATTTGGCTTGCTCAGACCATGTCGGGAACTGCCGTCGGTGGTCTTTCGTCTTACTTCTTCCAACAGGCCGGCATCTCGGATGCGGATTCGTTCAAGCTTGGTTGGGGCCAGAATGGTCTTAACTTTGTCGGGACGGTTGCGACTTGGTTCATCCTAAACAAGGCCGGAAGGAGGACGTTAGTGCTTTGGGGTATGATCATGATGTTTATCTTGTTGCTGTGAGTAACCCCGTACAAAGCCATATTAATCCCAGGCTAATTTCAAATCAGAATTACGGGCTTCATGGGCATCCATAACCCGCCCAGCACTGCCGAAGCTTGGACAGCTGGGGCGATGGTCATCCTCTTGAGCGCTACGGCCAACTTCTCCATCGGCCCCGTAGTCTACACCATCGTATCCGAGATTCCATCGACACGGCTGCGCGCCAAATCCATAATTCTCGCGCGGAATGCGTACAACGCGATCAACATCGCTTTCATCAACGTCGTCTCATACCGGCAGCTAAACCCCGCTGAGTGGAACTGGGGGCCAAAGGCCGCTTTCTTTTGGGCCGGGACCAATGCCATCTTTACGGCGTGGATATTCTTTCGATTACGTTAGTAGCTCCCTTCTCTTCCTAACGACCAATTCTTGAGTTGGTTGTATGTGTGTAAATTCGTTTGCTGACACTTAACGAATCTCCATAGCCGAGACGAAGGGGCGGACTTATGCCGAATTGGATATTCTATTCGAAAACAAAGTACCCGCTCGTAAATTTGCCAGCACCAAAATTGACAACTTGGTCCATGGCACCGAAAGCGCACAAAAGGAACAAGTCGACCGTATTATTAGCAACGTAGAGAGCAGGACCGAGATACGCGAGTAGACAAGCCAAGGTAGTCATTTGATGGCGATGGTGAACATTGATAGCGATCGAAAGGCTGGAAATAAAACCTATTGAAATTGATAAGCTTTTATCTGGCCGTTACAAAAGATAGATATTGTGTCACTTAGTCTAAATCCAGATCTTGGGAGTTAAAATTGTTGATTGAATCGACGCCCAATTTTATGGTGCTTGCAAATCACCGATTATCCTTATTACTACACACTGATTAGTACACGCTAAGTTAATAGTAACCCTCGCATAAGGGGCTTATCAACCTAGAACCTGTACTTCTTCCTTTCCTCTCTTTTCTCCTCGTCCCGCTTCAGTCTCTTGCGGCTCTCGTTCGCAATCATCTCGTCAAGCCCTTCTTCTCTCCTCCAGTTGGCACCGACGCCCTCCTCACGCCGACCCTCTTCAAATCTTCGTCGCATCTCGTCTTTGCTAATGCCATCCACCATCGCATCCGGGTCGAAGGATACATCTACGTCACCAGGCTTCTTGCGTTTTCGGCTGCTATCGTCATCCTGACCGAGAACGCGCATATCTCCGCCCGCATTCTTGAGATCATATACACGATCGCTGCCAAAGAAACCTTCGGCTCTAGCCTGCTTCTCTTGAAGTACTGTGTAAGCTGCGCGAGGGTGCGTGCTATCTTCTGTCTCGTAGCCACGTCGGGATTTCCGCAAGTCCAATTCTCCGGCAACAGATTCGGTAGCGGTACCGTACTCTGTAGGCACACTGCTAGCCATGCCACCAGGAGTTTCCATGCCGGACGGAGTCTGTAGTCCAGCACCAGCGTCTTCCTCATCCTCTTCATCTTCAGATTCCTCCTCTTCTTCCTCCTCAGACTCTTCTTCGGGCTCTTGAAGTTCACCCCATAATGTGCGCTCAATAGGCTCACCAGGCGGGGGCGCTGCTTGAGATGGTTGCATGATACCGAAAATGTCACCTCCGTAGAGAGGTCTGTTGTATTCATCCACGGGCGGTTTGCCATAACACCCCGGATTGAAACCCCATTGAGCTCCCGCTGGAATAGGGGCGTTGAGTCCAGGAATACGAAGAGACGGATAGGAAGGGGGAGGGCCAAATCTTTGCTGGTTGATGAGCCATGGTGGAGGTGCACCGGGAGGAATGCTTAGTGCTTCCTTGAGGGGGTCGCTTAGCTCTCCTGGCCGGAGATGTCGTAAATCTGTCTCATACTCCTTGCCCTCGTAGTAAACTTCTCCAAAGCGCGTTAGTTGAGGTTTGCTCTGAAATCTGAAGAAGGCGTCGTAAAGCTTTTGGTAGTCAATATCCAATTTGCCTATTTTGGGTTGTACTCTTTCGCGCTGCTTCTGCTTTAGAGTCTGCTCTGCTTGTTTCTCTAGCACAGCATCCCTCATCTCCGCGATACCGGTATCTGCAATAAACTTGGGTAACTTAAACGCAGGTTTTTCGATACCTCGCTTGGATGAAAGATACTCGCGCTTCAGAGACCAATGGGATGGGACCGGAACCACGTTTCGTTGCGCCTTAATCTGCACTAACAACCGAGGATCTGACGATGATGTATCGTGCCATTCCACAACCTCCGGTTTCCTCACCAGCGCTTTGAGTTCTGCAATAGATAGTTTGTTGAGCATCTTTCGCTTCTTCTTGGATAGTTTAGGAGGCGCCCCTCTCTCCTCATCCTCGTCGGGTATATCATTATCGTCATCGAAATAGACCTCGCCCTGGTTGCCAGCGTTGGCTTCCTTCGCGATATCATCTTCTTCTCTCGATGCACCAAACTTGGTGAAAATATCCTTGTACATGGAATACGCGGGATCTTCATTATCGAAACCGTAGTCTTCGTCGTCATCGGCGGGTCCATCGGCAGGTATCTTATCCGATGCAGCAGGTGCTTTTTTAACCTCGAGCTCTGAAGTGTCAGTCTTTTCAGACACATCATTCGCCTGTTTCGATTCATCCTCACTCGGTTCAACCTGGGGAGTATCGTCGGCTGTAGTAGTTTCCTAGGTAATGTTAGTCATTAAGGCGATGATGAAATATGTATAGAGGATGCACTTACATCCGCCTTTGTCTGCTTGTCTGCCTTCTTCTTCGCCCTACGCTTCTGGTTCTTCGTCATCTTAGGTGCCGCCATCTTGTCTACTTTCGTTGGCTGACGCCTCCTTCGCTAGAATGCGCGACGGGATCAGGCGCAGCGGCCTTTCGTTCCCCAAACAAATAAAAAATGACAGATTAGATAGAAAATAGGTTTCTCCGTTTCGTGCTATTGAATAGGTAGACTCGATTTGATGATAGAGTCTGTGGATGAGCAATGTCTAGGATAATTATCCGTTGACAAGGCTGAGTTGAATAATTTCAACACGCGACTTCGAAAAGTTGAGCTTGAGCCTAGTGGTAGCTTTGAATTTATCAGCCACACGAAGCCACATAGAAATGCTCTTATCAATGTGGCGTACAATTTAACCGTATCGAACCGGCCAAATTCAGCAAGTGCTACAGCGCAAAAGGTTGGTCCATAAAAGTGCAGCACTATGCACGTATCCCACGGTAACGTATTAGTTGGCCACTAGCGTCTTGCTTAATTTGATAACGTACCTAAGATACGGGCATATGCGGCTGGCGGCGAAGCTGGAACCTTGGCATTTTTGTTACGAGATTCACCCATAATTTTTTCTCAATCGCGTCAGTCAGCCAGTCAATTCAACAGGGGTTGCCACGCGGCAGAAGTCATTGACCCTCCTTATTACTTACATTACATACCCTTACGTTGGTCTTGGTCTTTTTATGGATGAATCTGATACTGTACAACCAAACCAAAACCGAACCACATCATAACTGCCGGTCAACGATCTTGGGAATTCTATCTTTCATACATTCATACGATCCTTATCTCCATATCGTTTCGAACTTTACAACTCACATGTTCTGTCCGAAGCAATGGTCTTGTGAATTCCCCTTTTCCTCTGAGTAATTGCGCGTTGCTCTCTGTCGCTCGTTATATCTTCCACCAGCCTGCACCGCAAACTCGATAGTCAAATAACATGCCTCATTCAACGAGCTCGGGTTCGTATCCCCGAGATTCCTCCGTTCCACGATCCAATGCCAAGTATCCGGATGACCACGAAAGCGACCCTGGGTCCGGCCTCGAGAAGTTCCCGGACCATGTCGATTCTCCCGCAATGCGCGCCAATGGTGCAAGGTCCATCAGCCCTGGACTTAATGCGTACGGCATCGGGTTGAGTGGAGGGGCTCATATAAACGGAGATCGCTGGCAACCAAGAAGAGACCTCTCTGCATCGCGAGGCGTTCGTTGGGGTTCTCCGCTTGGGCCGTCGTCTGGTCTTTCTCGAGGTCATGGACGACAGAAGAGCATTAGTGAAGCCTTTAATACTATCAGGGCAAGGAATGGCAGTGTCAGCCAGAATGCCCATGAATTAGCAGATGCGCTGCGGGCACCTATCTCCCCAAAGCTCATTGTACGTCAAATGAACATACGACTACTTGCCCATCATATGCTGACATGACGTCTGTAATCTAGATTCTGTGTATAATGTGGTATATGTCCTCTGCCTTGACGAATACGTCTTCGAAGTCTATCCTAAACGCCTTCGATAAACCTGCAACCTTGACTATGATCCAATTCTTTCTAGTCGCCTTCTATTGTATAACTTCTTCGTGGTTAGCGACTGTGTTTCCGTCTTTGCGAAACTCGATTCCCGCGTTGAAGAATCCTATACGACAGCCTTCAAGGGATGTCATTATGACTACACTCCCTCTTGCTGCGTTTCAGATAGGCGGTCATCTCCTCAGTTCGACGGCAACCTCTAAGATCCCCGTCTCTATGGTCCATACCGTAAAGGGGCTTTCGCCACTATTCACTGTCTTCGCCTACCGATTCATCTTTGATATACGATATCCGAGAGCGACGTATTTCTCGTTGATACCTCTGACTCTTGGTGTCATGCTCGCATGCTCATCGAAACACACATTTAAAGGAGAAATGTTAGGACTTCTCTATGCGCTCCTGGCGACTATCATCTTTGTGACACAGAATATCTTTTCTAAGAGGCTGTTCAACGAAGCTGCTAAGGCGGAGGCAGATGGTCAATCGGCAAAATCACGCAAACTTGATAAACTAAATCTCTTGTGTTATTCTTCCGGACTTGCTTTCCTCCTTACATCCCCGATTTGGTTTTGGAGTGAAGGTGTCGGCCTCATCAGGGATGTGTACCATGATGGTTCAGTGGATCTCTCATCACACCCAAACAGCTTCGATCACGGGCGTTTGGCTATTGAGTTTCTATTCAACGGTACTTTTCACTTCGGGCAGAATATCCTAGCATTTATTCTACTCTCCTTGGTATCACCAGTCACTTACTCGGTCGCATCGCTTATCAAGCGTGTGTGGGTTATCATGGTCGCGATCCTGTGGTTCCGCAACCCTACGACCCCACTTCAGGCCGTGGGCATTGCGCTGACATTCTTCGGGCTCTACTTGTACGACCGAACAAATGACAGCAACAAGGCTGATCGCCGTGCACGTCTCCTGAGTCAAAGTGCAGGACGAGATCAACCACTATTGCCACTCAACACTAGCCAAGCGGTACTTGGCTCCTCTGCTCAAAACCAACAGGTCTTCGAAAGTCCGATACCAGCCTCCAATGGTTCAACACCTCACCCATATACTAATGGATACACCTCTCAAGCCAATTCCGGACCGGAAGACTTTAAGAAAAGCGATGATGCTGGTAAGGGCCGGCAGAGAGGGAGCAGTAATGCAGCTTGGTTGCCACCCGGTACCAAGCAAGAGGAGACTTGGAGGTATCAAGATAGAATTAGTGCTCGATGATTATGGACTCTCCGGAGAGTCAACAGGGCCTTGCAGGCTCATGATACATTGGATGATGCTCATAGAGGGTGGCTTCTTTTTCTTTGCAAGGCAGGATAAGGCAGTGTGCCCAAGCCATTTAAGGCCGTTCCAAGGTTGCTGCCGCCATGATCTTGTATAGGTGGATATCTTGGTGTTTACGGGCTAGGGCCAGCAAGGCATAAAGTGGATTGGAGTTATAGTGTGGTTTGACCTATTTGGTCATTTGTACAAGTATCCTGCAAATCAATAGGATGCATATTCTGCATTGGAGTCGGGTTTAGATATGCTTAAAAGGCATAGGATACCATCACTTCATTTTTCCAGTTTAATTCTGGATCGGACCGGACCGGACATATGGAGATAGACCTTAGAAACGCGTACTTGATAATATTATGTTGTATGAAGCAATTTTAATGCTGTGGTTCTGTACTCTATATATGAATGTGTATATATGTGTGTATACGGATTTATATTATATGCACTAAGTTCTAGAAAAATTCATTCATTAATCTGATTTGCCAATTATTTTGATCTGTGAACTTTATAACAACCTGGGAACATTAGAATATTTCGTTATCAGATTGTGCGGACGTGCTGCAAATCGTAGAGCTTAAACTTAGTGGGGTAGCGTTCGGGTAGTTTCGTAAGATCATGTGATAGATCACGTGAATATACTAGAACACTAGTGGAGCTTCCCTCACTGGTGCAGGTTCATCCGGACCAAATGACCGCCAGCGCCATTTTCACCTCGACCTTTGCTTCAAATTATTTCCTCCACCCCAGACTCATCACCTCCTCCACTCCATCCATTCTTTATCGCTCTTAGGTCATCTTTCAAGATGTTCAAGAGGTAAGTTTATATAAGTTAATCAACTTTTTTCGACCTTTCTCGTTGTCAATTGGGATCAATTGAGCTGATCAAGGATTTTTTACCCCGACTTAGCGGCCTCTCCTCCTTCGCGAGAGCTGCCCGGCCGGCCTTCGCCGCACCCACGAGGCGCGCATTAAAGCCTGCTACTTCTGCATTCAGATTTCCTCTTAGCAGTCGGTTAGCGAGCACATCCAGTGCAGGTGATGGCAAGATTTACCAGGTGAGTTGGCGCAAGCCGCGGCTAGCAAAGCTTTGTCGGACAACGGGAAACGGAATCGGAACGGAGCTAATGGGATATGTCAACAGGTCATCGGTGCCGTCGTCGATGGTTAGTAAAGGCCTCAATTGCTATTAATGAGCTTTCCAACTACATTTAGAGCTGGTTATATTAACCTAACTCTTTTTAATAGTCAAGTTCGACACTGCGAAACTCCCTGCCATTCTAAACGCTTTGGAGACAACCAATAACGGCCAAAAGCTTGTCCTCGAAGTCTCTGTAAGCTTAACCTCCCCACCGTTATATAGGTTAAAATTATTTCTAATATAAAACAGCAACATCTGGGTGAAAATGTCGTCCGTTGCATTGCCATGGATGGTAGGTCGTCGCATTAGAAAAAAATTCGCGCGCGAATATCAACTCACATTTTCATAGGTACCGAGGGTCTTACCCGAGGCGCCAAGGCCACCGACACTGGCGCTCCCATCACAATTCCCGTCGGCCCCGCCACTCTCGGCCGTATCATAAACGTCACTGGTGACCCGATCGACGAGCGTGGCCCCATCAAGACCGACAAGTTCCTTCCTATCCACGCCGACCCCCCAGAGTTCATTGAGCAATCTACCTCTGCAGAGATTTTGGTTACTGGTATCAAGGTTGTCGATCTTTTGGCTCCCTATGCTCGTGGTGGAAAGATTGGTCTCTTCGGTGGTGCTGGTGTCGGTAAGACTGTGTTCATTCAGGAGCTTATCAACAACATCGCCAAGGCCCACGGTGGTTACTCTGTCTTCACCGGTGTCGGCGAGCGAACCCGTGAGGGTAACGATTTGTACCACGAAATGCAAGAGACCTCCGTCATTCAACTCGATGGCGAGTCCAAGGTCGCCCTTGTGTTCGGTCAGATGAACGAGCCTCCCGGAGCTCGTGCCCGTGTTGCCCTTACTGGTCTAACGATTGCTGAGTACTTCCGTGACCAAGAAGGCCAGGATGGTAAGAATGATCAATGATCCCTGTATGCGACTAATGAAAATTTATTAATTGTCTATAGTGCTTCTCTTCATCGACAACATTTTCCGATTCACCCAAGCCGGTTCTGAGGTGTCTGCCCTGCTAGGTCGTATCCCCTCTGCCGTCGGTTACCAACCTACCCTCGCCATTGATATGGGTGGTATGCAAGAACGAATTACCACCACTACCAAGGGTTCCATTACCTCTGTCCAGGCTGTCTACGTCCCTGCTGACGATTTGACTGATCCTGCCCCTGCCACTACCTTCGCCCATTTGGACGCCACCACTGTGTTGTCCCGTGGTATCTCTGAGTTGGGTATCTACCCCGCTGTCGACCCTCTCGACTCTAAGTCCCGTATGCTTGACCCTCGTGTCGTTGGTCAGGACCACTACGACACCGCCACCCGTGTCCAACAAATCCTCCAGGAGTACAAGTCTCTCCAAGATATCATCGCTATTTTGGGTATGGACGAATTGTCGGAAGCTGACAAGCTTACCGTCGAGCGTGCCCGAAAGATCCAGCGTTTCTTGAGCCAGCCTTTCACGGTTGCCCAGGTTTTCACTGGTATCGAGGGTCAGCTAGTCGACCTTAAGGCCACCATCGCCTCCTTCAAGGCCATCTTGGCTGGTGAGGGTGATGACCTCCCCGAAGGTGCCTTCTACATGGTTGGCGACTTTGCGTCAGCTAAGGCGAAGGGTGAGAAGATCTTGGCGGAACTGGAGAAGTCGTAGGGGGATAATATGGACTGCTATTAAATAGACGCTGCCGAAAAATAGGTAGTGACCTGTGTATATCTAGAAAAGGAGCAGTGCGGTCTGATGATTTCCCTTGGCTCAATCAAGTTCCTGTGTGAGCTGTATACCTCAAAAATCCACCCTAATTTCCTAAACGTCAACTGGTCTTTTGCGTATCTTCGTGATTTGATACCACCTATCAGGTAAGAGATAAGCGTATTTATAATCCGTAGTCTACATGAACCCGAGTAATGGTATGTCATAACGAAACTGGATGTAAGGGTCGTTTCCTCTCCAGCGCGTATACTCAGGAAATTCCCAACAGAAACGTCACCTGTAGTCAGGATGAACGGCAACATCTCAAGCAAGACACGTAACAGGACATCTGAATGTTACGATAACATTTACAACTAAAACGTTTACACAAATTTACTGACCAGCCAGCATTAATCCATCGTATTCATCCATATTATATCCCTATATTAGCAACGCTCCTCTTCATAACATGTATTACCTGCGTCTTCTTTAGCTTCGCTTTGATGAATCACTATGAAGGTACCTGAAAATAAATATTATACTAGGAGTTATTTTCCATTTGGTGTTTAGTTCGAAACTATATGATTTCGGCGTAACATGTCAGGATGCAAACAACCGCTGGGACTCAGAGTAGGTAGGTAGTTGGCGTTGCACATAAGCTAGTCGCAATAGGCACATAGATGCAAGGGGCAATTATATTCAACAGCGACGACATAGTTTCATAGATAAATCTCATTCATAACAGTGCCCCCATCTCGCTAGATACTCGTCGCACTCCACTAGGTTCGATCACGCCTCGAAACGTAAAATGGTATAAATATCGCAAATAAATTTTCAACCGCACATTCATCCTCCCAGATCCATTATATCACGCTGGATAGTCGTCCATGGTATCATCCGTCCCTTTTATCCCGCTCCGCGCCGTGCGCCTCCCCTCACGCCTTGCTATGCGCTCCCCCGGCTACGGCAGTAACGGTAACGACCTCAGGCTCCGTCGGCGTCCCCTCCGACGACCTGACGCCCGAGTCCACTGTCTGCGTCTCCGAGGCGTGCTGTTCAACCCACAGGGGCGCTGCGGCGTCCGGCGCGAGACCGTACCACGCCACGGTTATCACGCCCAAAATACCGCAAAGGGCGCTAAATGCTAAGGCGACCTTGCCGCGAGTCGTAAATCTGCAGGTTTGGTTAACATATAAATCAAGAAAGGAAAACATATAGTATAGATTGGCTTACCCTTCAGGTAGCGGGTCCGGAGATTTAGGCTCCCCAGTGAGGTCGAGGAAGTTGACCGTGTTTCCAGCCGCGTTACCGGCTGTGGGGATGTTCTGGGAGGCGCAGGCATCTAGGTGGCCTTGCGGGATCGTAAGGTTCTTCTGTAGGTCGAGGGGCGCTTCAACAAAGGTTGCGACTGTAGTGTTTAAAGTTAGAAAATCGCCGGTTGGAGGTCTAAAGGGGGATAGGAGTGTACGTACTAAGACCGGATGCGACATGCCATTCAATATGGCAGTGGAAGAGCCAGACACCAGGATTGTCAGCCCTGAAGCGCAACACGATAAAACCGGTAGGGTATAGCACCATCGTGTCGCGGCGCATGGGAATTTCGGGGTAGTCAGCTTCCGTGATCTTGGCATCCTCATATGTCCCGGCGTCTTCATCAGAGCGATATAACGCCTGGAAGTGATGCCCGTGAAGATGGAACGGATGACGTCCAGTGTCTAGATTGTTCACGGTGATCTGGACGATTTGACCTTTCTCGAGCACGAAGGAGTGCGTGTAGGAACCGTACACAGTAGGGTCGGTAGCCAAGTCTCCGGCAGACAAGGCTGTGTAGAGAGTAGGTACTTTCGGCGACTTGTACGTGATATTGTTGAAGAAGGCACTGCGAGGAAATACAAATAAGTACATAGCCTGTAAATAATGTGCAAAGAGAAAACTTACTAGTTGGCGCCATCTCCCAAGTTGTCCATGATCACATCAAGCTCGACTGTCTGATCGGGTTCGCCGAAGCGAGTCAGGTTGTCATATGGAACCAGAGTAATATCGTCGAAATTATTCAACTCATCCACGGTTGCAGGGTCTGGCAAGGACTGGGCTTTATCATATACAAGCCATCCCGTAACGTTATAGTTCAGGTCGGCCGGTAGAGTGTCGAATAAAGTCTATTATATAGCAACAAACGCATTAGTATCCAAATAACCATCGTGTAGAAATACATTAGATCAAAGGTAAACTTACCGTATCCATGCTTGCGACAAATGCGTAATTGGTTGATGTCTCGGCTTTAGTCGTAATCAAGAAACTACAACGCTGGGCAGCGGAGAGGTATATCATGTCAGCCACCGCGGGCTGATGGTAAACGCCATCAACTTCAATAATGGTCATGTTATGGCCTTCGAACCAGATGTACTGGCCAGCAAAAGCTCCTACATTGATGACGCGGAAGAGATAAGTCGTGTTAGGCTGGACGGCAACTTGCAAGTTTTGCGTGTCATTCCACAAAGCTGCATTTGGGACTGGTTCGGCTCCTGTAGGGTTACTCTTGTCGATAAATCCAGGAAGAAGATCCGTCATCTGGTCATGATACCAGTCCGACACGGTCAAAACTCTTTCATTTTCTTGTATATAGGATGTGTTCAGAAAAGGAGAGTTTGGATCGTGGATAATTAAAGGTCCTCTAAGTCCATCAGGATATTGTCCATTGGTATGCGAGTGATACCAGTATGTTCCGGGTTGGTTTATCTGATCAAACAATTAGCTTCAGTGATTGGCTTATTAAAACACGAATTCATACGGTGAAGTTATATATGAAACTTGAGCCCGGTGCGATGGCGCATTGTGAGACCTGAGATGGTCCGTCCATCTGCGTTGTACCATTCATGAATAAGCCATGAAAATGGAGAGAAGTGGTTTGATTTCCGAGGCTATTTTTCGCAGTGACCACAACATTGTCGCCGATATCAGCGACAATAGCAGGAATTGGCCATTGACCGTTGATACCAATAGTTGGTCTGTTAAATGCGCCATCAGGGTTTGACGTGACCCATTCTATGTTGAAGTCATATGTAACAGTCTTAGCACTTGAGAAGCCCAGAATAGTAGCAGTCCAAGCTACGGGCAAGACGAGACGCCTGAATAGAGAGGACATTGTGAAGCCACCCCGCCTCGAGGGTGATGGATGGTAGGCAAATGAGTTGTAAGTGAGGAGTGACAAAATGGTCGAAGCTTGAAGTAAGAATACCCGCGAGTAAGTAAATACCCTAAGCTGATCCGATTATCGTGTTGAATATAATCAGCTGTACTATTGAAACCGGCCTAGATGGCGCATGGACAAGATTCGGAGTTGTACTTTTGCCTATGCTGAATTCAAGCTTGACTTGCTTACCTACTAGGTAGGCGATGGGACCATCCGCAAAAGACCTAGGCCACATACATGTAGGCCCTAATTCTTACCGACTATGTATGAATGCCAGGGGGCGAATTAATAGATTCCAGGTAATCTTATCAATCAGCCCAATGCAACAGCTAGGATGTACCGTGGCATCGACCCCATGTCGAGTACTCACACTTTTTTTGATTAATCTGGTGCTCTTTGCGGAAAAGTGGCAGGGTGGAGAGACAAGTGAAGCTCAGGCCGCCTAAAGACGGACTCTGGATTTTTACCTCAAGCGAAAACGGCGTAACTCGGCTGAATCTTTCGAACAACGCCATCGTATAACACCATGTTTAGTGTACACGCTACGACGTAAGAGACATTTTTATCAATGCTTTCCTGAGTAATTCAAGATCTAGGCCAGTCGAGATTATATCATTGACCCTAGATAGAGAATGATTGTTATACTCATGCTAGGTAGAAGAAGGGAGGTTGGTGGGTTACCTAATGATCCCTAATGATCTCTCACCAATGACATCCTTCAGTCCCATTTCTGTTTGTGACAGAAAAGAGAAAACAAAAAAATAGCAACAATAATCAAACCGCTGTACATCTCGTACCGGTCTCTGAAATTTTTATTCTCATTGGGCAGTTCGAGAAGCTCTACCATGTCCGAATATATAAAGTATCCATGTAGTGGTCTCGGTGTAAATGTAATTGGTAAGTTCAATAAAACATCAGCTGCGTAGGTACTATGATCTGATAAGATTTCTTAGGGTTAGTGGCAGCGGCGTGGGGTGACCCGTGCTTCTTCCGTGTAGTTACCTAGCATCAGATTATAGCCAATTAACAAAGAAAGCGAACGGATTAGTAACTCGAAGAGGAAGGAACAAACGAATAACATCTGACTCGGGCTGAATCTTAAAAAATTAGAAGCTTCGTTTAGAAGCTTCGTCGATGAGAGCACGCACTGCTTGCCGTACTTGCCTAGGGACGTAGCAAACCTTGATATTCCCAACCTGACGTATATCTCCGTAACTTAAGAGCTTAACCTTTCTTAGGAGGTACCCAAGCTTTTATGCACATGTTTACCCCCGCAAAAGATAAAAGCCAATCGGTGTCAGAAGCAGCTAGGTACTTAGGGTAGCAACCGGTTGGATTGGCAAAGGCTTGTATCGGAGTCAAAATTACCCCAGGCCCTGGACCCTACCGGGCTACCATTACCCTGCTTAAATCCCTTGGTGAAACTAACATCCATAGGGAAAGTGCGACGTTGGGCGAGTCGAACAACTGATCAACCAATTTGAATCAAATCGACTGGTACCACAAGGATTCCCAAAATGGAGCATTCGATTTTCTTCATTAATCGGACCATCTCTCTAGCACTTCGGTGCTGATCCTATGCGATCTTGCATTCCTTCTGTTATACTTCTTTTGGTGCCCTAGCACAGGTAGTCCCGCGCTTTGGACAGCCACACGAATTTTTGACGGAGTACGAGCTGAGCTAGTCTCAGCTGCTCGGATCGAACGTGGGAAAAGCTGAAATAAATCGTCTTTCTATCAGATGTTCCAGATCTTCTAGGTCATTTCGTCTGCCCGTAATCGGCGGTTAATTCTTCCCAACACTACCCCCCTTCCAAGTTCATCCAATATCATTTTCCAAAGTTCAATTATAAGCGAGGCATCCTTGACGCTGATGCCCCACTCGAGATTATCTGATCCCACTTATCAGATCAACAGATAATTCGCTATTTCCCTCGCGATCCCTCGCGGGTCATACACCCACGGGTCATACACCCATAATAGAACGTTTTCCTAAAACCTCCCTCAGTAGCCTGATCTTGAGAGAATCGAAGGTATCTTCATCTTCACGATGGCGGGAGATAATGTCTTCGCCGTTCCCGTATTTCTCGTCGTCTTTCGAGAAAGTCTCGAAACGGTAATTATCGTTTCCGTCTTGTTAGCTTTTCTAAAGCAAACTCTCGATGGCCCCAACCGAGACACAAACGTATACAAAGCGCTCGTCAAGCAGGTAAGATTACAGCGTCTCGCTCTTATCCCCGGTAATAGATGTAGAGGAATTAACAGTTGAATTTCTAGGTATGGCTTGGCGTCGGCTTCGGATTCTTTCTTTGTCTTGTTGTAGCTGGCGGCTTGATCGGCGCCTTCTACACTCTAGGCAAGGATAATTGGGTAACCAATGAATACAATTATGAAGGAGCATTTGCGCTTATCGCTTCTGTTATTATCAGTATCGTGGGCGCAGCTCTCCTTCGAGTTGGAAAAATGCAGGAGAAGTGGCGCGTTAAGCTAGCCAAAGCTGTCGAAGCCCCCTTATTAACTAATGGTAACCGCAATGGTTGGCTAAAGCGCTTCGCCGAGAAATATGCTATGTTTGTCCTTCCATTCATTACTGTCTTGAGAGAAGGCATTGAGGCTATTGTCTTTGTTGCTGGAGTTTCATTCTCCGCGCCAGCAACTGCCGTCCCTCTTCCTGTAGTAGTTGGACTAGCCGCCGGATTCATCGTGGGATACATACTATACAAGTGAGTTTTTTCCGCGACACTATCGTTGCATCCTGCTAACTTGTAGCAGAGGAGGAGCTGGAGCAAAATTGCAATACTTCCTGATTGCTTCCACATGCCTACTATATCTAGTAGGCGCCGGCCTTTTCTCTCGTGCTGTCTGGTATTTTGAAAACCAGAAGTGGAACAACATAATTGGTGGAGATGCTGCCGAGCTAGGAACTGGTCCAGGATCTTATGATATCGACAAGAGTGTTTGGCACGTAAACGTAGGTAACCACTACCATTTGTTGTGGTTCAACGGCTAATTCTTTTTGTAGTGCTGCAGCCCAGAATTTAATGGCGGCGAAGGAGGTTGGGGAATATTCAACGCCATCCTCGGATGGACGAATTCGGCAACATATGGCTCAGTCATCTCATATAACATGTACTGGATCGCTATCATGGTCGCTTTCGCCGCCATGAGATATAAGGAAGTCAAGGGACACTGGCCTTTCTTGAAAGCAAAGGCAGGCTCTGCGGAGCCAGTCGAGAAACCCAGCGAACCTACCCAGGTGAGAAGCATGCCCGATAGGGAAATTGCTTAGGGAGGTTGATGACGCATTTTCTAGATTTATGTGCTGCGAGTTGCTGACTGGGCTGCCGGGGCAATGGATAGCCCTGGGAATCAAAAGTTTCGATGATCGTTAATCGTTGAAATATCAAGGGTTTTCTTCAAGATTAAGAATTACATACGAAAGTTTTTACCCTGAGAAAAGAATATTGAAGAAGTAATGAAAATGATGTACGTTAATACTAGGCACCTAGTAGATAGTTATGCCAAGAATGAGAGATCATAAATGATGATGACGGGGCTTAAAGTTCTCCACATTTGCCGAACTCCGATTTTTGGTGGTGCGAAACGCCACTTCTCTATGCCAAGACTTCACCCGCCTTCAGCTATCTAGGCTTAGTCACAGTAGTTATCGACACGCTTCATCTATATAAATTTCAAGTTAAATCCTAATATTTATTGCGACATTGCGTTGCTTTGGCTAGGTGTTCTTGAAAGAGCCTGGGAATTACGTCAAGTTTTAGGACTGATGACCACTCCGGATCTCCGCATCTTTTGGGTATTGCCTCACACCGGAGACAAGCCAAATGGGCGACTCGAGCTCTGCCCCGGACAGCGAACCGCTACATCCCAACTCTCCGAAGAAGCTGCTCCCTGAAGTTACCAAGATCGTAGAAAATGGAGACTTGGTTCTAGATGTGATTTTCGAAAATTCTAAAGACACGATCCGGTCTACACGAGTTGCCCAATCGAAATTATCACTTCGAGAACCGCAGCTCGCGCCCAAGAGGAAAGCCCGATTAGCTTTTCGTGTCAGCCTCAAGGTACTCAAAAGTCAGTCGAAGTACTTTGAAAGGCTTCTTGCCGACAGCCGCTTCAAGGAGGCCAAGGACATATCGAGTGCTTTTGCTTCTCTTAAGTTGAGAAACATAAAGCCCGAAACTGCCGAAGTCAAGGAGCTCCCCTGGATCGAAATCCGCGACGATGATCAAGCTACACAATATGCACATCGTGAGGGCGCGTTCTCTGACCTTCTACGGATACTCCATGGAAAGGAAGTAGCCACAAAACAGATCACGATGTCGTTTGTGACTACGCTGGCTGTCCTTGCCGACCGCTTCGACTGTGCACCTGTAGTGTCAAAGTGTCTCGTTGGTGGCCTAAAGTTCAAATGGCCTGTGACCAATCGCAAGCCTCTGAAAGATGAGGTTTCTGTCATGAGTCGTAATAACGAAGACATCCTACGCCAGAAGATCCTTGTATCATGGCTATTGGGTCAACCTACTAGACTTCAAGCAGCTACAAAGGAAATCATTATGAATGGTTCTTGTCGGTGGAGCCCGTTCGCCGAAGATGATGAGGCATCGGATGCTACGTGGTGGTACTTACAGGATGGCCTCGAGCGTAAGTCATTGAAATCCTACTTCTCCCTGTATTTTGTGCATATTAACTCGATCCAGAGGAGCTACAGTATCGGCGACAGTGTATCTTGAATACGATTGCTTCGGTCCAGAGGCATTTTATCAAGTTATATACGTCACGTACGCGCCAGTGCAAACTGGGCTACGATTCAAGTGCTGCTTGTGACTCATATCAACTGGGCGAAATATTCAAATTTCTGACGAATAAGAATCTCATGTTCCTCGTCGACTTCTCGCCCGCGTCTCTCGACTCTATCGCAGATACTTCGCTACTGCAGATAGAGACCGTCATCTCTACCCTAAGGCAATGTCCGAGTTATCAGATTGACAAAAACCACACCAATTGCGGGCTTCGGACAAGGATTTTGTCTATATTGGACTTCATACATGGCCTGCTATCAGCTAATTCCATCCCAATCAATAGAACCCTTTGGAAGGCCAACCGTCAGTCGGTCGCCTGGTTACCTTCTGAGGGCGAGAGCAAGACACCGGCTGAATCAAAGCCGTTCCACTTTACACGGTCACTGGCAGGGGATCAACGCCTCCGCTTCGAGAATGCATTAGGTGCGGAGAAGTTTGCCAAGGACGTGTTCACCGCGTCAAGTTGGGATTGGACAGCAGAAGATCAAGCACAAGACAACATTCCGTCCACGACTCCAAAATGGAGTTTGAGGTAAGCGGAAGACTTCGTCATTTATAGATGCAGGAACATCAAAGCACGATATAGGATTAGGTAAGGCCGAGAGGGTTTATCCTATTTCATCATTCTAGGAAGATCAGCCACAGATCTATCATCCCATCAATCGCCATCCATAAAGCACTTAGATTGACGGCTATATGTAAATACATATATGGATATACATAAGATATATCAGAATCCCCAGGAACCAGTTTATGCGTGAAGTCTATTTCGAAATGACATTAATCCAGTAGTGTCGTAATTTGTATATACGTGAGCTTCTTTAGCCGTCTGTCTTGCTTGAAAAACTAAAAATCCTACCCAACCAACAATAATGATGATAACAATAAAAACAATGATGATGATCGTGATCCGGGAATGCTACTCCCCAACGCCGATACGAGCAATAACTAGACAACTTCCCTGAAGATCTAGAATCAAAACAACCCGTTCGATCAACTAGCTCCTCAGAGCCTCCAGCCTGTTCCTCATCTGATCCATCATCGCCTCCTGGTCCTCTTCCTCCTCGTCCAGCGCCACGGGCTGTTCCTGGGGTTGCTCAGGCAGCGGCACAGGCGTCGGGCCCGCCTTCTCCATCTTACCCTTAAGAATCTCACCAAGCACCTTATCGACCTCGCCCTCCGCCTCGTCCAAGTCATCTTCGAGCATATCATCGTCGACAGGGAGGCTCTCACCGACCATCTCCTCAATAACACCAGCCTTCATGAGCTCGACGCTAAGCTCGCGCATGGTGCCGGCGAGCTGGGGGAGTTTGATGAGGGTGTTGACGTCCTTCATGACGCCGACGCTGGCGCGGATGCTGCCCTCGATCTTGCGCACCGCGAAGGCCTCGTTGACCTGCATCTGCACGGAGCTCAGCTGCGCCTTGGACGTGACCAGCCGGCTCGACGTCCGCCGCGCGCGGATCAGCTCCTTGGCGAAGTCGCGCGCCTCCCGCTGCGCCTGCCGCGCCTGTGCCGGGTTGCGCTGCCCCCGCCGGTCCGCGGCGATGATCAGGTTCTTCGTCTTCGTCTCCACTTGCTTCACTTGGCTGATGTCGCGGTCGAGCTTGCGGATGTTGGACCGGATTAGGGCGTTGCATTTTCGCATCTGTTTGGGGGGCCGCGCGTAAGTATGTTTCGGAGAGGTCATAGCTTGTTTACACGCCGTACGTGGGGAGAAGGGGATTGCGGATGGGAGATGGGTATATGGATATGGTGTATAGGTATGGTGTATAGGTACGGTGTATACGGGGATGGGCTGACCTGAGCATTGGGATCTGGTTTTACGAAGAGTGCTTTGAGACCCTCCATATTGGGAACAGGAGCTTGGTTGATGGGAACGGAGATGGAAACGGTCGCGATCAGCTCGACGGGGCAACTCCTGCCGAGAGGCGTCGGATGGAGGATCTGGCAGAATAATTCGAGGAGCTGGATAGGTTCGTAGATTCGTAATTAGGAGAGTGTGATTAGGATGATTAAGGTAGGTAAGGAGTTGTGGATCTTGATAGACGGATAGTTGGGTATGCAGGTTAATGCGATCTAATGACGTTGGTCTAAAACGGATCCTAGGCTGACAAAATTCAGGAACAGATTAACCCCGCTAAGTGCTAGAAGGTATTCGGCACCGTGCTAATAAGTTGATCCACTAATTAAGCCCTCGTTTTATTATGTAAGGAAAGCTATCTCCAAATAATTATATAAGATATATTCATTTATTGATACTGCTATATATGTGAATATCAATACCAAAACATCACTCTTCAAAATCAATATCAACGTAACTTGGTTCGTACATGACACAACACTAGATAGGTACTTACGTAGGTACGATAATGACACCTAAGCTGTCAGGTACGTGTATGAGAGCATGCATATGGAAGCATTCATCATATGCCGAATTCAGAGATAGCTCCTGGAAGTCCATCATATGAAGGTTGCCTTGTATACCTCAGTTTGTATTACTTGCATAAGATTGTATCGATCAATGCAACTTCAATATTAGACATGCAGGTAGAACCAAGGGATTGGAACCTATGCAAGGCTTCTAAACCTCCGTTTCAATGTTCTATGCAGTCATCTCGGTGTTTGCTATTTTTCTTCTACGTCGTTGTTCTTCAAAGAGCGACATACAACGAAGTTATCGGAGAAGTTTCTGTAAATGTTAAGGATACGAGATACGATATTATCGAAGTATGCGGTAATTGAAGACCCCCACCTGCTTCCAGCTCATTCCTGGGGATACAAAAAGCAAATAGACCCCATAAACTATTCCCGATTGGGCTTACCTTTACAGTGTGAACGATCTATAAAATATTTAAATGGTCTAGGCAACTACCCCCCATGCAAATCCAGCCCTGCTGCTTCCGCCGCTTTCGTGCTGGTTCGATATTCGACGGAGGGGTGCATCATTAAGCTTTTGGAACAGCCTCATATTTTTGCGATTTTCATTCCACCGCTCTTCTTCCATTTTCTTCTCACCAATTCGGAAAAAAAGGGAATACCGCCGAATACGGTTGTGCTTGTTAACCTTCTTATAACGCTGTCCAAAGCTGCGACTATATCCCATCGCAGTTCATCAACTTACACTTATTAACACCAGTACCTAACACACACGCAAGCGTTCATTTCACCACTATCAACATGTCGCAGGTTACTCCCGAAGGTAAGTTTACATCCATTTTCCATCAGCGTTATATTCAGTCTAGCAGTAGATGAATAGTGCGATACTACAGCGCCTAATAGGCAAGCTGTTGGTCTCATTTACTCTCTCTTAAGCTACCTAGGTACTTAGGCACATTTAAGCTAACAATTTTTTCCCTTATAGTTCTATGGGCTCAGCGCTCCTCCAACACCGACCCGGAGAAGAACTTCATCTACCTAACCATCTCGGTTCCTGACATCCCCAAGGAGAACCTGAAGCTTGATCTTCAGCCCACAAGCCTCACCTTCACCGGCCACTCCGACACTCTTAAGCGAACTTACCACCTTGAACTTACCTTCTACGCTGAGATCGACCCCGCAGAGAGCAAGACTCACCACACTGCCCGCAATGTTGAACTAAAACTGCGCAAGAAGGAGCTCAACGACGAGTATTGGCCACGACTCCTCAAGGAGTCTAAGAAAGTGCAGTTCCTCAAGACTGACTTCGACAAGTGGGTCGACGAGGATGAACAGAACGAGGCCCCTGAAGATGACTTCTCGCAATTTGGTGGTGGTGCTGGCGGCATGGGTATGTGAAATCCCCCCTCCTCCCCCCACACTGCTCCTTTTGCGCACTTTTTTTGACCCACGAGGGGTTTTCCACTCTACACCGAAGACGCATTTTATCTTAAGACGTGTTCCAGCTAACATTCATTGCTTTAACAGGTGGCATGCCAGGCATGGGTACGTAACTAATTTTTCGCCACTTGATGCGACAATTCCGCAAAGTAGTCAGATGAAAGCTTGTAGCAACGAAGCTAACATATTAAACCAGGCGGTGGCGACTTTAGTGGCATCGACTTCTCCAAGCTTGGTGGCGGTGACATGCCCATCGGCGGCGAGGATGACGAAGAAGATTCCGATGACGATGGCGACATGCCAGCTCTTGAAGGACAAGAAGACGTTAAGGAGGACGCTAAGGTGGAGGAAACGACCAAGGCCGCTGCGTAAAACAGTCTCTACCTATGAGCTGCAAAGCATCAACCCTTCCGCGGTTGCATGGTGCAAGATCCATTTGTCCTCTTAGGTCCGGGAAAAGACGCCCTAGTGCGCATAGAGTAGGATCAACAGGTGGTAAATGCTCATGAGATGTTTCGGAAGCCGGCGAGCTATTGGGAAGCTATGAGGTTAGGTTACCAGGTAGTGAAGCTGGAATCCGATGAATTTTATTAAGTAATCAAGCAGCGTCTTCTGCATGATGATATCGGGAAGTTATTCGAGTTCAACAGCATCACATTGAGGATGGAGCCCACATCCACATATCGAGCTCATGTATTGGGCTACACAAATCCATTCTGTCCCACATAATTCGATCATTGGTCACCAAGATCCTCTCGTTCATGGCGAGTGTCTTGAACTTCGGCAAGCAGGACAGCCGCAATTCCCCATACCATTCGTGATTGGCCGCGTCCGAACCCCCCGGAACTGCGAGTCTCTAGTTAGTGCGACAGCGGTGTTCGTTGTCAGTATTTGGCCTGGATTCCGAACAAGATGAAATGTCTGGCCATACGGTTGGTCAATCTAAGTTCAATATTTACGTGTACCTGTCTCTCTGATGTTCCCTTTTCCCATTTTCACTCCTATTCCACGCTATGTTTCTATTTCTAGCTCCCTCCCGCGGATGCCGTCCGGCTTCTAGCGTTGATTCACCCAAGCCGGGACTGCTGTCAATATGCGAGGCTCTGTCCTCCCACAATACGCGTGTCCCGTATATTTGATTCAAGAGATCGGGTGTTGCACTTGAAGCTGCGAGATCCGGTACTCGCTCAGCCACATTGGATATTGAGACCAACGGACATAGAATATAGTCTGCAAGATTTATGAGATGTCACTCCAGGTAAGTGGATCGCTTCAATGATTGTAACAAGGGAGGTGCTGTAAAACGGAAGGAGGAACCAGTCTATCGGATCCCTCTCCCGTGAATCACAGTTTTGCAACACGACGGAAGTAACTACTGGGTTCGTAGGTGTGGTTCTTTCCACATCGCGTGCTTGCTCAGGTAGTTTGCACCTAGAGGAAAACTCTATATTTATATGGAAAGAGCATTTTGCTTTGTCCCAGTATTATGATACTCACTAGTCACGTCCCCGAAGTATAAAGCTTTCCCATCTTCTCACCTTTTCCTCTCTACTCAAGATTCCGCAAATCCCACAGCATAGTCCTCTTAAGACGGTTTTTATATAAATCACTGTTTACGCTCTACCTCGACAAATTTGAAATCACCTCTTCTTTCACCTGAGCTCCTGTGCTGTGCAGATTTAACTGTCACTTCTCCTCAAACTTGATCAAACAAGTAGAACTAGGCAATCACTGCAATCACAATGCCCCACGCAACAAAGACAAAGAAGCAAACCCGCCCACGGGTCAACACCGCCATCTCGGCTCCGGTCTCATACCCGGTTCGGCCACAGCAGCAGAATCAGGTTTCTGCCTCATCATCGAGTTCTTCTTCCCAGTCCTACACTTGGACAGCAGCAGATGCTGCCAAAGCCTCGCGAGATGGGGCATTCCTGACGGCTTGGCCGCCTGAGGAGACTTATTATGCCCCACCGGTTCATCTCTTCGGCCAGAACTACCAGGCACAGCGTCAAGCTCAGGGGCAGGTGCAGGATAGTCAGCATCATTACTCTTCAACATATAGACCTCCTACTACATTGAACCAAGGAGCCAGTACCGGCGGGAAGTAGACGGATCCCTTTTCCCATCATCGGGAAGTCCAAAGATGACTGCGATCACAGAGCCTTTCTATAGATCATGTTGCGTGGGAACAGAATCGGTTTTACTTAGAAACCACGGGGCATGTGGCTCAGAATCTGGCAAGCATTCGTTGAGGCTAAGGAGGGTTGCCATTTTGCTGGTTTCAACTCAAGAACTTGTAGGCTCGGGGGATATAAAAGGGGATTATAAGGAAGTTAGAAAAAAATGTCGATAAATTGTTTGTTCCTAACCTAATACATTTGCTACGATAGTGCACATTTCCAGTCAAATAGAGGTTGCTGGGAAGCTAGGGCAAGTTACTCAGTCCACATATAAAGGAGAATAAGGGGTCATGTCGCTAGAGTCGGAATGGCTGCTTAATAGAATGCATCTGATTATGACGAGAAACTTGTGAATAGCTACCTATGACAAACTAATTTATCTCGACCTTGAAGTTGATGCGGCTTTGGGAGTAACCAGGGTGATGGTGAGCACGTGGACTTAAGATCTAGTTCATGTCCAAATAAAGTCAACAATCGAGATTGTTATTGATAATTGTCATACCTGGATTGGTTACCTCAAAGAAATCGAGTGTAATGAAACAATACCTATCTGTCCCGTGAAAGGTACCCAGGCAGCCTTAGGAGTATGAATTTGACTAGAAGAACTACCTAGAGTGAATCCATAAGGGAGGCGCTTGCCTAGACGATGATGAAGCAAGTAGGTAGTGCCTACCTAGGTATATTATAAGCCAGTGTGGGTTGTTTTTGATGGGTTCTATATCGATTTTCTTCATTACTACGCCATTTGACTTTCTATGTCTTACTCACATCTCCTGAGTTGACTCAAGTCCACAGCTCTCTTTGATATGACTCACTCAACTTAGTAGATCCGTCCTAGTCCACGGTGCTCTACTCTCTTTGAACCATATTCTAGCTTTTACAAATGCTGACGATTTATCAAAAGATAGAAGGCAGTATGCACTCAGGAGGGTTACAGACTTAACCTGACCATGGATGAAATCACATCAACCTTCAAGGCACACATGTACCCTTCCTGTGGGGAAAGGATTCATATCTCATTCTTAGTATCTAATTACTACAGAACTTGAGATACTAACGAATAATTCAACTGCTCGGTGAGATATGCTGTACAATGCGACATTGATATCACGTCTGAGGCCTAGATTTGATCAGTGGAGAGTCAAACCCAAGAGTTACTATTGCTAGTTTCAACGTCTAACTATCTAATTATCACTTGATGGTGATACTGGAATAGGATGGACGAATAGTCGTCGATACGGTCTGGATAGAATCACTGGTTTCCTTGTTCTACACTTCTTGTGAAGATGGGCTAACTAACAGAAGAGTAATAAGCTTGGTGTGAATCCCTGATTTCGTCGGGGGTTTGAAGGAACCTTGGAACTTGGATAGGCTAGAGACATCACGTAGCTTGGAGGGTTGGTCGGCCAGCTCGATCTGTACCCTGAGCATCATATGATTTCATTGCGATATCATTCTGAAATAGTTCTAGGTCAGCTACTCAATCCTGAATACATTGGCCCCGTGAAGGATGTAGTCGTAACCCGCTTCAATGAGGATAAACTGCACACGCGCTCTTACCCTTGGCGACACGGCATGGGCAAGTGTTTAAACCTTCATACTGTTAGCTATTCACATACTTAAAATAGATCTTGGCGAATGTCTCAATCTTACCAGATCAAGGGTCGCGATAGTCTTCACCAACTTAGATATTAGTATAAGCGACATGCTGTTCACGCCATCCTGTAGCTGACTTAGGAAAGTTGGCTCAAGGTTTGTGATGAGACGCGACTCGTGATGTCTAGAGGAGGGGCATCACATAATTCAGGGGTTATATAATAGCAGTCTATTTTTCAGATGACATTTCCAACTCGAATACCCCTGTCATTATCAATGCTTGACATATTAAGGTACCGGTACCGTAAGGTGAGCATCCCACATGCCACCTCGTCTGAGCCATGGGATGAGATTGACAAATATTCTACTATTCCATTTAACCCAGCACGTATATATCAGACTATTGAACAATCCACAAGGCACGGCTACCAAGTAAGATCTCCATTGGCTAGCTAGGGGATGCAAGGCTGAAGGTTAGCATTGGGCTATCACAGTCAGCTTCCTTATCACATCGTCGTAATAATGCAAGGAGGTTATATCACGATAATCCGAACCCTGTGAAAATCTAAGCGCGTAACGTTCCCTTTAGGTTTAACTCGTCATCAGTCATCACGTAATCTAAGCTTAACAAGCCCTACTCGAGCGATCTCAAGGTTGTAAGGTAAGTAAGTACTGTACCTCCAGTAGACCAATCCTGAATAACCATCGCTATAATAACCGATACTAATGTTGATAATGATTCCACCCAGCAGCCACATGCGGAAAGAAAGTCGGCCTCGAGTGGAGAAGCGCGATAATGCGTCTGCGGCTCGGCGGTCCGCAAGGGGTATGGGTGGCCTTGACGGTCATGTGCCGGACCTTAGCAAGCCCTCGTCACATCACATCACACTCTCGGAGTTAAGACACACCAGGTAGGTTAGCATCTAGCATCTCTAGCCAACGAGATCGCGCATCGAGGTCATTACTCGCATATGTCGGACCCGAGCATATAAGCATAAAGTTGGAATTGGTATTGGGTGGAAGAAGGGGGGGGGGGGACCGCCTTCATCACCGGGATGTTCGAATTCCGAGATGTGATAGCGGCGCAACTTGTTGCCATTACTTCATCACTTGTAATCTATCACAACCGGTCTACCGATATCGATATCTTCAGCGATGTTCTCCGGACTCGGCGCACTCGCGATTTGCTGGACGGGTTCATTGGTCAATGGCTACCTACGTGCCTACTTGGCTTACAGGTTTACTTACCTTACGGGTTTACTTACCTTCCACATGTCGCCTTCGAGCACAGGGCAGGTGAGCGAACGCGTTTTCCGAAGAGTGTGATTGATTTAGTTGCGTCGCATACGGCCGACTGCTACGACGAAAGGAAAAAGGGCTTTCGCATGCGTCTGCGCAAATGAGGGCCAGCGCTTGAAGCCATCGTGGCAGCGGACGGCGTGCCACGTTAGTCCCGACTGCAGCGGTTACCGGGTTTAAATCATGAGACATCATGAACAATGATATAAGAGCGCAGGTGCTGCTGCGTCAGAAGCGCCATAGCGCCCGTACGAAGCGCAGGCGGTCAACCATTCATGGATCGGTAAGTAGGTATGTAGCTGTAAATATGATTTCCGCCTTGGGTTTGAGGTAGATATCCTACGTATGAGAGCGCATATGAAAATCTGCAGCAAGGTCCGCGGAGCGAGTCTGAGAGGCGCCCACGACAACAGTCGACCGTGCGCTGTGGAACAGGGGGGCCGTGGACAGCGAACGCCCCTGTTCTTGACGACAATTGGGCTTCAATGCCTTTAGAGGCGCTGCGGGGACGTTCCAATGCATCCTGCAACGCTTCCACTATATGCTTTTCCTCCGAGTCGCAGGTCGTAGTGCACACAGGATAATTTTTCTAGTTCTTTCTTTGTTTCTTTCCCTCCTGTTTTTTTCTGTCAGAAAATTGAAAGTCGAAACGAGGAGCCGTCGGTTCGAAAGAAGTGACTAGCGAGCGATACCCTGGCGATGATCGCGATGAGAGGGGAGCAACAAATATTACACCCTCCCATACCAGATTTGATCGTTATTATCGCCCACTCTGGAATGTGCTTCTATGCTACCTGTTTGGACGATGTATCGTCGCGAAAATCTAGACTTTGGTAATAAAGACCAATCCAGGCGGTCTCAGGACATATAACAGGTAAGGGCATGCTATATCACGAGATGTGATTCGGCTAGACTTAGTTTGCGTCGAAGCTTGGCGTAGATCGTTTTTAAGCTGCCAGAGCTGCGAGGGTGTGAAAGACCAGAGAACGGGGCTGAGATCGACTCTCAGATTGGCGACGCTTCAAGAGTCTGCTATCTAAGCCTTTAGGGCTACGCAGCTTAGGTAGCCGTCGTAGCGAAGGTGGTGTACGATCTAACACGATCAACGTGCAATATTTCGATGCCGGCCGTGCGCCGAATAGTTGGGATGAAGATAAGGGGAATGTTCTCAACCGGTTCTCAAAAGCCGCATTGCGGTAAATATTGCCATCTTTAATGCCATCCACCTTGTTTTCTCCCGAACGAATTGTGCCGGTCGGTATTGACTTCCTTCGAATCCGATAACAGAATCCCATCTCATTAAACCGTTTTCGCGTAGAGTAGCAATATTGGAGACGTGGCTACTACTACGACGAAGAGAAAAAGAGAGGAAGAGAAGAGAAAAAAATGAGTACCGTGTCGTCGTACTCTGCCTCCTCGAAGCTGATGTGACACGACGAGAACTCCAAGACTTTTCCCCAGACTAATAAGTAGAAATGTCGTAAATCCTAATCTAATGTTGGAGAAGCTTCTTCGGGACTTGAAGAGAATCTGGGGAATACTTAACTCTAATCTATTGCTATAGCTACATGGTAAAATATCGTGGCGAATTCATTACGAGAAGCGAGGTCACAAATCTGTTACCTGCCTTCGCGAACACTGGCGAGCGCTACATCGGACTTGCGGAGTATTGTGCCACGAAGCAGATGGGGATGGGATTCTGAAATGCCTCTATTCTTTCTCATCTAAGTGCTATGTAGGTTCTGTAGCATGCTTGACTTTGCCATCGTCGGCTACTTACGGATCCTTGTCGTAAGGGCCGATTTCTGAAATCTCTCCCACATGACAATTAAGACACCTGCGCAATCAAGGCCGGTGGATTGTGGTATATTGGCCAAGGAAACAGAAACAATGACGTAGTCGTTTCACTGCTGCGTCGGCACTTTCGTACATATCGTAAAGTGTTGAGCTGCTGCTAATGCGGTAATGCTTAATCTCATGAAGAGTCCGATGAATCCGGAAGTGTGTGCGGCCTCAACACGATGACAAGCTCT